TTTGTGGTTTYGGGGTGGAACCCAGCACCTCACACATTCTAGGTAAGTGCTGTACCACTGAACCATGTTACCAGCCCCTTTTTTAAAAATTTTGAGGCAGAGTTACACTACATTGCTCTGGCTGGCCTCGAACTTGGAGCCCTCCTGCCTCAGCCTCCCAAGTGGCAGGGATTATATGTGTGTGTCATTGTGCCAGCTCCTCTGTTGTTTTAAGTTGTCCAGTGTGTAGTGCTTACTTACAGTGGCCCCACCATAGCATCAACCCAGCATCCAACCCAGGGCAAAGCTCTGCTTCCCAGGACCCTCCGGCAGTTGCTAGCCTCACTGAGCCCTGCAGTCCTTCCTCACATCCTGCTGCTGAGGTGCCTCACCTCCCAGGCATGCTGGTTCCCAGTGGCCTGCCTGGGAACCCTGAGAGGAAAAGGCCACAGCTCCAAGTCACCCTCCCCTCCCTGGGGATATAAACCAACACCTCAGCCTGCATTATCTCAAAGCACACAGAGAAATTTCAAGGGAGGCCTAATGTCCCACTAATGGGGGGGGGAGTGGAGGCTATGGCCCTTGTGTGCTTAATGGCGGGGTAATTTATTGTAGCGCCACTTGAGAGTTGACATATTGGAGCTATTGATTTTCCTGGGAAGATCAATATGGGGTGCCTGGGGACAGGCAGAGCTTGCCTCTGGAGGGGCAGAGCTGTTCTTCCAGGGCCTGAGACCTGACAACAGGTGGGGGTGGGGACTGGTGAAGGCATTGGGCTGAGAGCTGTGCAGGGCCAGCACTGCCCACAGTGAGAGCCAGGCAGGTGCTGGGACATATGTTGAGGCACCAGCTTCCTCTAGGGGCCCAGATGGTTGGCAGGGGGCTGGGGGACACAAAGCTGCTTGGTCTGGGCCTGGCTACCCACCCAACACCAGCTAGACATGTACAGGCAATGACTCCTGGCAAGTGAGTCTCTCTACTGACCCAAGATTCCCTGTTAGGCTGTCACTCACTAACCTAGCTTCACCAGAAACAAAAGCCAGAGACACCTGGTCTACCTTGAACTTGGCCTAAAGCTCAGGTGGAGTGAGGAAGGGGAAGACTTGTTGAACTCCCGCTGGATTGCAGACCTGCTCCTTAAGTTGCCTGGTCTCCTCCATCATCATGCCTCAGCCCACACTGTGGGACCCTGGTACCTCCCTCTCTAGTCTCAGATGTTGTCCCCAAGGCCTTGCCAAGCTCCTGTTCCCAAACTCCTACCCTAGCTGCTCCAGCATCTTCTCTACTCTAGAAGTTTGCATCCCAGGCTTGGGTTTCCTCCTTGATTTCTTTTCAGGCAGAGAAAAATGTCAGGATCATTCTAGGCCAGGACAAAGATCTGACTGTTAGTGGACAGCCCTCTTTCAGCAACATGATGGGCATTTCTGCATTTGCTCGTTGTAGGATCCAAACCCCTGTCGCAGCCCCACTTCCGGTTGAGGCTGCCTATGCTGGAACCAGCAACAGCTGCGAGGTTTAAACACACACACACACACACACACACACACACACACACACACACACACACACACACGGAGCTCCAAGTGGGTCTCACTGGCCTGGAATCCAGTCAGCAGACCACACTCTGAAGCCTGCGGGGACCTGCTTTCTTGCATTTTCCAGCTTCTTAGGCCCCTGCACTCCTTGCCTTGTCACCCTTGCCATCTTCAAAGCCATTAGCACAGCATTGTCCATTCTGTCTGCCTTGGACCTACTGCCTCCACTTCACAAGGACCCAGTGAACCCCAGAGGTTCCCAGCTCTGCAGCAGTACCTGGGTCCACTCAGGCTCTGTCCTCAGTTGGAATACTCTGCCTTCCTGCAGCTTACCCCCAAAGCCCCTCCTCTGGACACACAGGTGGGACATTTTCAAGGGCAGGGCGGTGTGTCTTCCCTCACAGCAGTGCCCCGCCCTGGGGGCCACACAGGCTAGGGCTGCTCTGAGGGAACTGGTTACTGCCTGTGCTCACAGCACCTGCACAGCCTCTACCAACATGCCTCCTGGGTCCTCTGGCAGGTTCCCAAGGTCCCCTGACTGCCTGCTCTGCTGCTTACCCCCAAGGTGGAAGTGGGCAGCACACAGACTTCAGCCTATTCCCAGCCTCTTCCCTGGGCCCATCCTTCCAAGAGCAAGCAGCAGGGGGCACTATGGTTCTAAGCAGAAGCAAATGTGCCCCACTCTCTGCCCTGGTCCAGCTCTGGGGTTCTGGGCAGATCAGAGCAGGAGCCCCTGAGCCATCAAGAGGGCAAGGGGCTGAATATGGTCACAAAGCAGGACCTATGTGCCCCAGCAGCCTGTAACTTGGAGCCTGGGCCTCCTGAAGATCTGGTCTGACAGCTGAGTTGCACTGGGTCAGAGAGGAGCCTGCTGAGGCAAGACCACCCCACAGCCAGGATGGGGCCAGTGTCTTTGGATCCTGAAGTCTCAAACTTGGTCAAAACTGAGGTCAGGCTGGGTGTGGTGGCACATGCCAGTAATCCCAGCAAGTTGGGAGGCTGAGGCAGAAGGATCATGAGTTTGAGGCCAACCTCAGCAACTAAGTGAGGCCCTAAAAATCTTAGTGAGACCCTGTCTCAAAAAGGGCTTGGGATGTGGCTCAGTGGATAAGTACCCTAAGTTCAATCTCATGTACAAAAAAGAAAAACCTCCTGAGGTCAGTCTATGGGGACAGAGATCCCCAAGCAGTCTGGATGCTCAGGACTGAACCTGGTCAGATGCCCCTCATCCCAGGACATTGGCATTACCTGGACATGGTCTCGCCTGGGTCACCCCCTCGGTTTCCTTCCAGGGACGAGGTAGTGATATATGGCAGCTGGTTGCTGTGATGATGCCATTACCCTCCTACARCCTGAAGTCTCTCTCTGGACATGCAGGTGACCTGCCCCTTGCCATTCCACTACAGCTCAAACAGCCTCACTGTGAGATGTGAGCAGCTCCCAAGCCCCTTGTAGCTGCAGGGCTCCTGAAGCTTTCTGCCCTCCAGCTGAGGAAAGAACTGCAGTAACCAGCAGGGATCCAGCTGCAGGGAAGGCCAGGTCCATTGTGCTGAGATGGCAGAGGGTGGGAGGTGCCGTCCCCCCACCTGGAGGGGGAGCAACTGGGAAAGGGGAGGTGGTGTCCATGTGCCTCTTGGAGATCAGGAGCTGGAAACAAGAACAGCAAGCATTGTGAGGCCTTTGATGGCCCAAGCCAAGCTGGGCAGGACCAGCCCTACCAGCAGCAGTGGGATTCGGGCAAGTTGGCTGGAGTCAGAGTCTCTCAACTCCACTTTGGGGTGGCTTCAGCCAGGAGGAGGCCTGGAATGTGGGGTGGGGAGCCATCTCAGTCTGGCCCCTGGGGAAGCCTAGGCCAGCAGTAGGTTCACTGGGTGATTGCAACTCTGTGTAGGTGGGAGGGGCAGCCTTGCTGGGCAGGRTCTTCATCATGGCCCCATCTGGGCTGGTGGAGACTGGGCACAAATGCCCAGAACCCCCTCCCCCCACTGCATGGCTGGAGGGGGCTAGGCCAGGAGCCATCTGCATTAGCCCATCCCAGTGGCCTTGTGGTCTCTGTGCCTCCTGCTGGCCCAGGGCCCTGCTGCCAGTGAAGCACTGTCTGTGCAGCACACTGCAGAGGCAGGATGTCCTCTAGAGAGGCCTACTCGAGAACTCAAAATAGCATGAAATTTAATTTTCCGCCTATTTGACAAGGCTTGGACCAGGCCCAATGAGCAGCAGAGATAAGGGTCCTCGGGTCCAGGGTGTGGGCCAGCTGGGCTTGCAGCAAACACTCCACGGTCCCCTGGCAGGATGCGTGCAGGTGAGGCTGGTCTTCGGACGCTCCCCCTGCGGGGCCCTGGTTGCCGGGCGCTAAAGCAAACGGGCTCTATTTGCCCAGTCTGCGATGACAATGCTGTCGCCAAATATTTGCCAGCCTCAGGCGGCTGCAGAGCCCAGCTATAAATGCTTGCATCCAGGTGGAGGTGGGCCTGCCGAGCAAGAGGTGCAGCAGAGGCCAGGTAGGACCCAGGGCCTGGTGGTGAGTGGGGAGGGCCATGGCTCTGTGGGGCTTCCTCCCAGGTCCTCTGTGGGACTGCTCTCCCTGTGGGAAGGTGTCTTGTCTTGCTCTCCGTGAGCAGTCATCCCCAGAGGCCTGGACATCCCGACAGCACCTTGAGCAAGTGAGGTCACACAGTGGCTTTCAGGTGGGGGAGACTGTGTACAGCTACCTCTGCTTCCCCAGGGGAGGGACAAGTGTCTAAGTCATCCTGACCCTGAGGAGTGCATGTCCAAGGGCCTTGGCTACCCACACCCAGGCCCCCACAGAGACAGGTGTTGTTTCCCGATGAGCTGGGTCCTGGGCTTCTGGGCCTTCAGCTCTGCCTTCTTCCTCCCTCTCACTGGGGTGCACCCACTTGGCTTTCCCGTGCAGATGCAGACAAGGTTCCTAGACCCCACTTTTCCCAGATTCTTCCACATCATCCTCCCAGCAGGAGGTGCCTAGGTCATATCCACCTAGGTATCCTTACCTCATCAGAAGTCAACCAGAACCTGGGTCTGAGGCTGCCACTGGATGCAATGGGCTGGGCTGGACCCTCATGCCCACCCCCACCCCCCCATGGCAACTGCAAGGACCCTAGGAAGGGTTTGGGAGGCCATAGCAACCCAGGGAGGGACTCTGGAAGCCCTGGGCAAGGCTGACCCCCTGGGACTTCTCTCCCTCTGCTTTCCCTGGTCCAGGAGTGGCCATGATTTTAGTGATTGTAGGGGCTTAATCCCACCCCCACATCCTCCCTGCACCCAAAACTTCCCTACCTATAAGATGGGATCTAACTGCTTCTGCTAATGGCCCACCGCACTCCTGGGCCCACCCTCTACAGTTTCTGCCAACCTCACCCCTGCTGAGCTGGGCCAGGGAAGCTGGGAGCTGTGGGAGGGAAGAGCCGGGGAGCCCTCTCTGGGTTGCACATGTGGCTCTGAGCTCTGACTGCTCACCTGCCCGCTATCTCCCTCTCCAGTCACTGCCTGCAGTCACAGAGGCCCCAGGAGTTCCAGTGACTTCAGGACATGGCTGCTGGCGTGATCCGGCCTCTCTGTGGCTTCCGGCTGCCCCTGCAGTCCCACCAGCCCTTCCTGAGCTCAGACCCAGAGCCCCTTGAAACTTCAGAGGAGGAGGAGGAAGAAGAGGAAGATGAGGACAATGAGGATAGGGAGGGCGAGGAGCTAGAGGGCAAGGGGTCCCCTCAGAACTCAGGGGTGGCTCCCCAAGGTCCCAACAGTCCAGAGACTCCGCTGCGGCTGCTGCGCTTCTCAGAGCTCATCAGTGGTGACATCCAGCGGTACTTTGGTCCTAAGGACAAGGGGCAGGACCCGGATGCCTGTGATGTCTATGAGGATAGCCACTTGGCCAGCCACTCAGCCCGAGAGCTGTACTATGCTGACCTGGTGTGCCTGGCTCAGGGCGGGGCCCCAGAGGACGAGGAGGCCACTGAGCCTGAGGTCCACTTGTCCAGGGGATCTGAGGGGCAGGCACACAGGTCAGGCTTCAGCAAGGATGGGACACTGCCACTGGGACCCCTGGCTGAGCTCTTTGACTATGGGCTRCGGCAGTTCCTGGGGCCCAGGGCATCAGCCGGCCACAGACTGAGGCTGGAGCGGAAATACAGCCACATCACCCCCATGACCCAGAGGAAGCTGCCCCCATCCTTCTGGAAGGAGCCGGCGCCCAGTCCCCTGGGCCTTCTCCACCCTGGCACACCAGACTTCAGTGACCTGCTGGCCAGCTGGTCATCTGAGGCCAGCCCTGAGCTGCAGGGTGGGGGTGCTCAGGCATTGGAGGGGACACAACTGACTGAAGCCTAGAGACTGGGTCAAGGCTGTGCTGGGGGCAGCAAAGGCCGCCCTTCCTAGGGTTCCCAGACTCTTCCTCGTGCTCCCTGAATTCCTTCCTTCCAGATAGCCGTGACCTGGCTGCCCACCTCAGGCAAGGCCTTTCCAGGCCCCAAAGGAGGTTCTGGTCTTGTCCTGCAGCCTATGGCTGCTACTGCCAGGGGTCACCAGGACTGGCAAGGGTGCAAGACTAGTGAGTGTGTCCAGGCTGAGCCAGCCCCTGGCCTCAGCCTCCAGAAGCACCCCACTCTGCACAGGGGCCCCCAGGGCTCTGCCCACAGGAGGAAGAACCTGGGCAGGAGCTTTGGCTCCCTGAGGTCATGGGCTAGGGGTGTTTGCCTACACACGTACCCCTCTAGGGGAGGCCCCATCGCTGCCAGGCCATCCCTTATGACTCAGGTCAGTGGCAAGGGCCAGCCCACCCGCAGCCCCACAGGGCCAGTGCTGATTGTCCCTGGTACAGCCCCTGGTGTAGCATAGGCAGGCAGCAGGGCCAGGACACAGATGAGCCTGGGTTTTCTTAAGAGGCAGAAAGAGGCGCCTGACTTGAGTAAACATGGGTGTTTATTCCCTGGATGAGTGCTGAGAAGTGGCTTCCTCCGGCAGCACTCTGGATGACAGGTCAGCTGGCAGGGCTGGGCCCAGCCTGAGGTGGTCAGCCACAAGCCTGCAGTCCCAGTGTCTTCATTCCTGCTGGGGGGGTTCGCGTAGGTCCTGGCAGCAGTAGGCCTAGGTGCCTCTGGACAGGCCAAGACCCTTTCTCCTGGGGATGTGGGGCTCCTGAGTTGCGGGGGAGAGATTGGGCAGGACAGGAAGGACCCTAGGGATTGGGGAATTTGGTCTCCTGGACTTGGTCCTTCCCACTGCCCAACCTGTGTGTCAGTCACACAGGCCCTTGGGGAGGATTTCACTGGCAGGTATCAGGGAGTAATGGCCCCATGTTGTACAAGAGCTAGCACATTTATTTCTGGGAAAGGGACAAGGACGTGTGCTGGGGTGCAGGCTACTGGTAGGATGTCTTCAAGACTACGCCTTGCCTCTGCCGGACCACCAGGTTCATGAGGACGGTCTTCCACTGCAGCCACCTGCCCAGGGACCCGGATCATGGCCTGCACCTCTCACCACCTTCCCTCCCTGTGGGGACCTCCCTGTCCTACCCCAGACCTGGAACCTGAGGGGCTGCCGCCAAGCTCCCTGCTGCCCACCTCACAGTCTGATACACGCCCCAGCAGTTCACGGAGACCAGCTCTCCAGGAGCCACGTCCTTGATGAAGAACCGCTGCCTCACCAGGGACATGAGAACCCGCCTGCTGCCCAGTGTCAATGGCCAAGGGCCCTCCTCACTCCAGAGGCGCAGCACACTCTCCCGCAGGGTTGCAATCTCCTCTGTGCGCTGCAGGACACAGGGGCCCCTGGTGTTACCCAGGAGCCACGGGGGGGGGGGGRGCAGAACAACGGAGGATCACACAACGTGGGAAAAGACGACAGGGGTGGGGGCAGCCCAGGCCAGAGGCCCTCATCTTCAGGAAAAGGCTGCTGGGTGCCAGCTGGGCTGCTGGGCAGACTGCAGGGCTAGAGGGAGCAGGGCCAGGCTTGCCCCAGCCCTGGGATCCCCCAGCCCCTCTCACCAGCTTGGTCTCTGTGTTGAACTTAAGGTTCTGGATGGTCTTGTGGGCCTGCATGCTGCTCTCCAGTTTTATCATTTGCTTCTGAAACTAAACATAGCCCCTGTCACGGGCAAGACACAGGTGGCCTTCTGGTGTCCAGCCAGCCCCAGGGCCCAACCTGGAATCCCTGAGCACTGGGAGCTCTGGCAAGTGTCCAGGCATGGTGGTCTCCCTGGGCCCAAGGTACCGTGGCCAGCTGTCCCTGGATCTCAGCGATCTTCCTCCCAGGGCTCTCCTCCTTGAGCAGCTGCATAGAGGACAACAGGGTAGCCAGCTCCTGCCTCATGGCACCAACTTCGAACTCTCTGTGGGCACCGAGGGCAGCTATGGARTCCAGGTGAGACAGATAGGTGCCTCCCCTAGCTGCCATAGGTCAAAGGGAGCCCAAGAGGACTTGGCCTTGCCCCCTTCCAGTGCAGAAAGTAGGGATTCCCAGTGGGTGGCAGTGGGGAAGCTGCACCAGAGGAGAGGTGAGCCCAGAGTAGGACTGGCCAGGCCAGGGAGGGGACGGGGCTGCCATGGGCACCTGGCAGAGCTTCTGCCCATTTCTCAGGGGCACCCTCACCTGACCCTGCCCTCGGCTGAGATCTTCAGGTCTGTGTCGCTCTTGTGGAAGATACACTTGTCTGAGACGCCTTCTATCTGAAATGGAGGCCGCGGACAACCTGGGGGGTGACCCCGAGCACAGCCAGCTTGGGGAGCCCCAGGCTGTCCAAGCCCAGCAAGGAAGGCAGGAGAGGGGAGGGGTGGGAGAAGCCCTCCAGCTCCCTAGGCTGGCAGAGCCTGGACAGCTAGGCCCACCTGTCGCGGGAGGCCGTCCACCTTCTCCTGCACCTCCCGCAGGTGAGTTGAGACTGTCTTCTGCCACCGGGCCAGGTCTTCCAGGGACTTCCTCTCCACACCCTCCCACTCAGTCTTCACCTGAGATTCAGACACAGAGAAGGCTGGGTCCCAGATAAGAGTTCAGGCAGGCAGAAGGACAAGGCTATGAGCCAGGACATGGAGAGGCCCAGGAGGCTGGGAAGAGGCTCCTGAAGGCCATATGCCCACATCCACCTCTGACTCTGAGCAGTCTGTGCCCAGGCCTGCTGCAGCCACCTAGGGGGACAGCCATGCCCAGAGCCCAGTCAAGTGGGCTGCCAGGCTCAGCACAGATGCACCCTGAGAAGAAGGGCACAGATCTTCTACCACCAAGAGCCGACAGGGACAGGGACGAAGAGCAGGCCTGTCACCTGCAGGAGAGGGCCTGTCATGAGCTGTTCTGACCAGTGTGTGCCCAGAGGGGCGGCAGGGATGACCTGGGGGTTCCAGCCCCAAGATCAAAGGGTGGACCCTCATGGTCATGGCTGTATGATTCCCAAAGGCCAAAAATAACAACAGCCCACACATCCCTCAACAGGCATGTGTGCAAACAAAAGGTGGCCTGCTCACACCGGGGGATGTCACCCTGCCAGGAGGATACACTGTGAGGGCCTGGCCAATGAGCAGCCAGAAACAGCAGCCACATGTGTGTGACTTCACTGACATCAAAGGTCCTGTGGGCAAGGCCACAAGCACAGAGATGGATCTGAGAGGCCAGGGGCTGAGGTGTTGGGGAGACTTGATGGTTGGTCTGGGGTTTCCATTTGTGGTGATGAAAAGTTCTGGAATCAACAGGGCTCCCAGCTCTGAAGGAACTGGAACCCACTGAGTCGCACACCTGAGGGGATGGCCCGGCCTACAGGTTATAGCTCAGTGATGATGCAGGAGAAGAAGGGAAATGAACGCCAGGGCCATGGGTGGCTACCACCTTTGTTCATCCCACCCCTAGGGACAGCCTCAGGTCTCAGCAGTGGAGCTGGACTGGTCAGACCTCTGCCCTCAGGGCTCAGGCCTTCCAGAATGTGCCTTACTGCCCTTTGGTGCTTACCTCAGATAGTTTCAGGCCCAATGTCTGTTCCTGAAGGTCCAGCCTCCAGCTCACAGCCAGACAGTGGTCACTCAGGTCCTTCAACTGCCTGGCCAGCTGGGCCACTGACCCCTCTAGGACCTGACTCTTCTCTTGGAGCTGCAGGGGACAGGAGGAGGTCAGGGAGGCCTCAGCTGAGTGACCATGGTCATGTGCAGGATGTGTGCTGCCCCTCTCCCTGGGCACCCCTCACCAGCTCCAGAGCACCCTGCATCTCCTGCCGGGTCAGCTCGCCAGCCAGCTGCACGGCCTCCAGGTTCTCTTGCACGAAGGAGGCCAGTTCCCCAGCCTGGCTCTCCTCCAGGCACACCTTGGTATCCCTGTGGGTTGACAACACTGACATTGTTTCTCAGCTGACGCTGGCCTGCCCCTCAGCATCAGGCCAGGGAAGAGGACACGGCTGCTAGCTCGCTCTGGAATCTCCCAGGAGAGCCCATGGATCAGAGGACAGAATGTTCCCATGGGTGCCACCAAGAGAGTTAGGTTTAGAGAAGGGGAGGTGGATGACTTCTGGGTGGCCTGCCTGGACAGGCAGCTCCCCGTGGCCAGAGGACACCCACCGGGCCTTCTGCTCAGCCAGCAGGATGCGGTTCACTGACACCTGGTTCTGCCGTACGAACTTTGTCAGCTGGACCACGGCCGCGTCCAGGCCCCGACACTGCTCCAGCAGGTGGCCCTCCTCCTCCTGTCCCAGAGGAGGTGGCCCTGAGCTGGTGCTCTCCCAGACTGCCCTGGCCACGCCCACCCACCAGGCCCACCTGGCGCTGAGCCCCCAGGGCCTGCACACGCTCCTCCGTCAGCTCCTGCAGCCTCTGCCAGCGACCCTCCAGCTCCTCCCGCAGGCTGCCCTCGGCCTGCAGCCGTGTATTCTCAGATGCCTTCATTCTCTGCAGGAACACCACCGTCTGCCACGCCCCTGCCTGGCCTGGGTACATGGGCCAGGGTGCCAGGTCTGGCCCAGGATCCTACCTGCTCCAGGGCCAGGAAGCTCTTCTGCAGGAAGCTGCAAAGCTTGGCCTCCCTCTTCAGGAAACGGAGGCTCACCTCCTCGCCTAACTTGGTCACCTGGGCCTGGGGAGAGGCCCAGTGTCACCCTCAGCCTCCCTGCTGGACATCCCATCCCACCCAGCCCCAGGTCACATCCCCCTTGCTGTCCCTGGGACTTGCAGAACTGGATCTACTGTATCCTGAGTGGAAAGAAAGGCAGGGCAGGCAGGGGCTACTATCCCCAGGAGACCAGGCTCAGGGAAGATGAAGGGCCAGATGAAGGGCTGGGGCAGGGCAGTAGGTGCACTTGAGACAACTCCCCCACACATGGGGACAGCCCATTGCAGAGGGCAGGCAGGGCCACAGCACCCCTGCTACACCAAGGGTGTGAAAGTGCRGGAGCGGGAGGGGGATGAAGCCCAGCCCAGTGCGCTCCCCTCCGTCTCACAGGGTCCAGACACCAGGCACCTTCTTCACAGCCACAAAGCTCTTCTACCAGTAGCCCCAGCACTCAGGCCCTGCCCATGGTTGGGTGGGGGCCTCGGGGAAGCCCTCACTCTGGCTAGGCCCCTAGGGGAGGGAGGCACAAGGAGGGTGCCCTAGAGCAAGGTCCACAGACTTTCCCATACAGCCCCACAGTAAATGTTTCAGGCTCACAGGACTTTTGCTGAAACCTTTCAACATTGTGGTTGTGACCTCAAAGTAGCCATTGACAGTACTAAATGTGCTTTACTGGCTTTGTGCTGATAAAACTTTATTTACAAACTAGGCAGTGGGTACAGTGGGTACACCTGAAACCCCAGCAAATCAAGAGGCTGAGGCAAGAGGGTCWCTAATTRGAGGCCAGCTTCAGCAACTTAGCAAAACTCTCAGCAACTTAGTGACCCTGTCTAAATGCAAAAAGGGCTAGGGAGATAGCTCCGTGAACCTGGGTTGAATTGCCAATTCAAAAAACAAATGAATGAACAAACAAATAAAATTAGACCATGGGCCATAGTGTGCTGACCCTGGCCCTAAAGTCCCCAGACATTCTGGGGCTCAGAGGAAAAGGCAGGTGCCCCAGGAGGGGCAGCTCCCCTACATCCAGTGTCAGGAGCCCTCAGCCCTCTGCCCTCACCTTGGCACCAGCACATCAGCTTCCCAGCGGCAGTGGGAAGGGGCCACATGGGAGCAGTGGGATGAGCCCTGCCTTGGAGGAGCCTGGGTGTATGGGGCACAGGCTGCAGTCCAGGGATCTGTCTGCAGAGCCAAGGAGCTGGTCAGTCCTGGGGGTCCTGAGTGGGAGGCAGCATGGGGGCCTGGAATTCCTGCTTCACAGAGGAAGGCTCAGGCTGCCAACAGCTGGGAGGGGGCTCTGGCTCCACTGCTCCCCTCCCTGACCCAGGCTGTGGCAGCCAGAAATGTCCACTCCAATGGGCTTTTGTGAGGAGGACCCCAGACTTGCACCACTGGCCACCTGTGGCTGCTGGCATTTGAAAGGCTGCTTACATGGCCTAGGAACCAAGTTGAGTTTTTATAATTGTAACTGATCTCAATGGGCAGGGCCACTGGGGTAAGAGGTCACCATGGGGGACAGTGCAGGATGAGAGGTCCCCCCCCAAGTTCCATCAGCAGGGAGGGAAGAGCCACCTCTGGCCACGGCACAGGCTGAGGATGCTGGGGCCCTCCAGGGGCCCCTGCCAGGGCCGGGCCTCCCTGTGGTACCTGCATCTTGGCCACCTCGTGGTCCACCCTCTGGCTGGCATCCTCTTGGCTCTTGTGCAGTGCACTGCATGCCGCCTCCCGGCCTTGCTCCTCCTGCCTCAGCAAGCTGGTCAGCTTAGTCAGCCTAGGGAAAGCGGGTGCAGGCGCCAGCTGAGCTAGCTAGAGGACTGGACTGGGGAGCCAAAGAGGCTGGTGGAACCATGGGACAGTCTTTCTCAGCTAGGGCAACGTGGGAGTGGAGACAGACCTCAGAGTCCCAGCAAGGGATCCAGGGAGGGAGGGCAGGGCCCCAGCCCCTACGAGGTCCACCGTGGGTCTGTGGTCCCCAGCATCCAGTGGCTCAGCACTGAGGCAGGGGATGCCCTGCTGGTAGTGCTGGGGGCACAGGGTGGGTCCAAGCCAGCCTGGGGAGGTGGCGCCCACCTGAGGTTGGCCTCTTGCTGGGCACCCTTCCGCTGCACGTCCTGCAGGGCCTGCCTCCTCCTGACCTGGGACAAGGCTTCCCGGACCTCCACCAGCCTGGCACACAAGGAGCGCCTCTGCAGGCCCAGAGCAGCTGGGCAGCCTCTGGGACTGGGGATTTGGCCATGGGGCCCTATCATCAGCCCCCCTGCCTTCTCGGGGTCTCAAGCTATCCAGGGGCATTGAGACCTGAGCTTTCTGAGTTGGACCGCATACCGGTACTGCTTACCCTAACAAGACAGCTTACTGGGGAAACAGAATCCTGAGCGAATCCCCATGGGCCCTGGTGCCAGCCACTGCCTGAGCCTCTCCCACCTGCTGAAGCCCATGCCCACAGGAGTGTAGGGTACCTTTTGTCCAGAGCCTGCACCTGATTCTGGTTCTGGGGTCCAGGGAACTGCAAAGCGGAAGGTGTGGGGCTGGGCAGGCTGGAGTGCAGGCCCAGTGGGCGTGCCCTGGAGCCATGGCTTAGGGATGAGCAACAGGGGTGGCACTGGGCTTGGGACTATCCCCTGAGAGAGGGGGAGATTGACTGGGGTGGGGCACTGACGCCTCTGCCATAGCTCACCTCCAGTGCCTCCTTCTCAGGGGCCTGAGCCACCTGCTGCATTTCCTGCCGCAGCTGCCGGAGCTCTGAGGCCTGCAGCTGCATGTGGGCCCGCATCTGCAGCAGCTCCCGCAGCAGGCTCAGGGTGGCGTGCTCACAGCGCTCCTTATGTCCGCGCAGGCACGCCACCTCAGCCTGCAGGTCACCCACCCTGGCCAGGGTTGGAGAAGGTGGTCACCAGGGCAGCCTCCTCGTGGTCCTCCCTGGTTCTCTTGCCCTGTGCCGCAGGGCTCACCACTGCTCCAGCTTCTCCCAGCGCTTGGAGGTGCTTGGCTCCGTGACACAGGCATTGGACGCCAGGTGGCTGGACTCTGAGTTCTCCTGACTCAAGGGCTCAGGGCTGGTCAGGCCTTCGGCCAGGAGGAGCTCCAGGTCCTCCAGCGAGACGGTGCTCCGCTGAGAGTGGGGYGAAACCCCTGACAGGGAGCTGTCAGCTAACTCTGCAAGGAAGTGCTTTGGGAGTGCACCCCCAGACACCAGCTCCTGCTGGAGCCCACAGGCACCCCAACGTTGCTGGCAATACCCACCAGCCACCCGAGCTCAGCCTGTCTACCGTTGCTAGGCACCACCCAAACCAGGTAGGGGCTTGGCTCAGAGAGCTGCAAGAACCTGCCAGAGAACACACAGTACTGGGTAGCAGACACAAGACAGCACCACCCTGACTAGCTCTGGCAGCAGCCACGGGGAGAGCAGAGCTGTCTTGTGTGGTCCTCCCGGTACCTTGCTCCTCCCGCTGCAGACTGCACACCCCGCATCTGGCTCACCTGACATGGCTTCACCAGCTGTCCCCCCTGCAGCTTTGACGCTGGGCCTAGTGTCCCCGTGGCTGCCCAGAGCCGGATGCTAGGCCAGGGCTGATGGGGACTTAGGGTGTGGCAGGGAAGTGGGGCTAGAAGGCTAGGAGGCCTCAGGAAGCGGGAGGGCTGCAACTCGAAAAGCCATCCTTACATCCTGCCTTCTTCCCAGAGGGTCCCACAGGAGGCAGGAGCAGCTGGGCAACAGAGCTATTCTGGAACTTTTCTTTCCTCACCAGAACCCTGTGGGTCATGGACCAACTGCCAGTGGACTTGAGCCCTCACCTGTCCTATCCTGATGGCCTCCAACTGCCAGCTTCTGGAAGGTTCTGAGGGGCACTGGACAGCTTCATCTTGCAAAGGGGCTTATTTCAGGGGCAGCAGGGAGGGAAACCAAGCCAACCAGTCCTGATCACAGCCCAGGCCAGAGACCCAGGGGCAAGCTGCAGGAGGTGCCCACCACTTAGGGCTGCTGGCACCTCTGGCTCTCCCAGCAGCCATGAAGGAGGCCAGGACGACAGGAGTTATGACAATTTGTTTTATTTGACCTAATATTTCCAAAATGTCATTCCAACATGTGACCAACACAAAACAATGTGTACAGAGATTGCACGTGCGTTTTTGGTACGCCTCTGGGGCCTGGCGGTTTCTCACGCCCTGAGGACCAACTCAGATGCAGCCCCTCCAGAGCTCTTCTTGCCTTGTTTCCCAGGCCCACCTGCCAGGGCCTCCTGTGGAGTAAAGGGTCCTGGGCGAGGGACTCCCCAGTATCCTGGCTCGCCCAGGAGTGGGGCTTCCTGGCCTAGAGAGCAGGGGTGGTAGAAATGGCTGGGAGCTGCTTGGAGGAGGAGGGCAGGGCCCCAGTGAGGGCGGATGGCTATCTGCCAGACCTGACCTGTCTGCAGCTCCCCAGGTTGCAGGGTGGGAGGCCATGGTGCTCACAGGAAGGCTTGGTGCCACACACCAGTCACCACCACCTCAGCGCCCAACCCCTGGCCCCACAAGTGCCAGTGGGCTGAACAGGGAGGCTGGCACTGGCTGTCTGGGCAGGGGTCCTTTATTTCTCACACTCAGGACCCATGGAGAGCAGAGGAGGAAGCACAGCCTGGGGCCACATAGGAGGACTCATGTGGCCTTCAAGACATATGCCAGGGACATAGAGATCCCCTTCCGTGTCCCACAGGAGGGGCCCTGCAGCCACAGGGACACCACATCTAGTCATCTGTCTGAAGGTGGCTGCCCAGCTGGTGGGTGGGAAGGTGGGAGCTTCTTGGCTAATTCTCAATGGTCTATCCCAGAGCCACTAAGACAGCCTGGGAGTCCTGAGGCCAGCAGGAGGCTACCTCTAGTGGCATCTGCTGCTGTCAGAAAAGATGTATCAGCCAGTACCAAGGCCCCTGGGTGCTATGGGAAGGCTGACCTCTGGCTGCTGTACACATGTGGGGTGACCCCAGCTCTGGAGTACTTAGGGTGACAGGCAGGACCTGGGAGTCAGGCACTAAGATGATCCACAGCTCCCAAGACCCTGGGACAGAGCCCATCTGCCACGTCCTCTGGACCTGGGGTTGCCCAAGTTGGGTGTAAACCCAGGGGTGCACATGGGGTTCCCTGTTGGAGCTGCCCTGGAGCCACATAGCTCCCAGGCCCTGGCCACTGAGGCTCAGGCTGGGCCTTGCTCAGGCCCAGGGGCCCTGGGCTGTGGGCTCTCAGCAAATGAGACTGAGCTTGTGGCCGGGAGTGGTAGACCAGCTCCTGAGTGGTCAGCCGGAGCTGGTCTCCCACAGGAACCACAGAAGCCACTATAGGCAGGATGCAGCACATCTACCTCATGTGCACGCCAGCCCCTCCCCTCGGTCCCAGGGAAGGTGCTGCTGCACACGTGACCCTGGAGACAGGAAGTGGGGGGTGGACCTGCACAGCAAGGGACTGGCCCAGTCTAGGGAAGCCTGCTCCCAGTGCCACACCCCCAGAGGACAGGGACCCTAGTAGGTGCAAGGGGCTGGGAGTGCCACCGCCCAAGGTGGGGCGCCGGGCCTCAGGTCTGGGCCAGTGAGAGCTCCTCCAGGCCTCCCTTTCCCAGGCGGTACCTGGCCAGATCCTTCCTGGTCACCAGCCCGACGACCTGCAGAAGCAACATCAGGTCACACAGTCCATGGGCCAGTACCCCACCTGTCCCACATGTGGCTGGTGCCAGGGGAGCCTTTAGAGCTTGGACAGACTCTGAGGCTGGCACGTGGCAGAGTAAGGGGTACAGCTGTTGTGCCAGCACTGATGCAGGAACAGGCCAGGCTGGGTCTCACACCCATGTACCTGCATGGGAGCAAGAGCAAGTGCCCGTGACCTGGCCAGCCCATCAGGACACAGACTACCAGACCCACCTGATTGCGGTTGTCCACGACCACCAGGTGCCTCAGGCCCAGAGCTCGGAACAGCTTAAAAACCCGAGGGAGAGATGCATCCTGCAAAGGCACAGCATTCAGTGGGCCCACCCTGGCCGGGATTGCACCCTGACCCAGGAAGGTCTGCCAGTCTACTCTTGTCCATCTGGGCCCAACCCCCAGTATGCTGCCTTGGGGACTCCCCCCAACAGACCCTCCCTGAGTAGCAACAGGGGCCCCCACTCTCCCTGCCTCTGTGTCCATCAGAGGTGGCCACTCCACAATGTCCTAGGAGGCCCTGAGCTCTGGTACCTGGGGCACTGTGTAGGGCGAGGGGTTCATGAACTCCGAGAGGTCCATGGTGCACTCCCGCTCATCCTGGGACACGTGGATGGACTGGATCGGGGGGAAGCGTGGGTAGGCGTCGCGGAAGTCCTTCAGCTTCAGCCGCCGCTGTACCAGGCCCATGTTGGATCTCTCCACAAACACCTGCGGGCAGTGGCCGGTCAGGTACTCGCGTAGGGGCCGCACCCCAGGCCCTCCCCACTGGGCTCCCTGACGCACCTTGTGCTTAAGGAGCACGATGAGCTGAGAGCGCAGGATCAAGCCCTGGAGCCTAGCTGGCTGCAAGAAACGTGGGCTCAGAGGCAGCCCTGGGGCCCCTGCTCCCGCCAGAGCCCTGCCTGCCCGGCTGCAGCACCATCACAGCTCCTCTGAGCACTGGCCTTGCCACAGGCACTTCACTGTACAGGGCCCTTGAGCCCCGAGACCAGGGACAGGGCAGCCTGGCCTGAGCCACACCCCCATGCAGGGCTTGCGGGTGATGTGTCAAGAGAGGGCAGCTTTGGCTGGAAAGGACATGCAGCCCCAAACTAATCCCCTCCACCAAAGTCCACGTCTTATGACCCCATCAGGAGAAGGGATACGGCAGCGGCTCATGTCTAGCCTTTGACTCCTGACAAGGTGAGAGCCACTGTTACACTGACCACCCCAGTGGGTCAGGACCATGAGACTCGGGCATGGCTCTCCTGTAGACCGGGTGACTCTGGTCATCTCCTTCTATGGGTAGCAAGGTCTTGCTGCACACCCAGTGCAGGGCAGGCCTAGTACCTGGGTGCCGTCCACACCCTCCACCACAGGGAAGCCGTTATGGTTGGACGCAGAGTCGCTGAGAACGTCCACAATGGTGCCGACCTTCTCCCTCATCCTCAAGCAGGTCACGGGAGTGCTCATCACTTCCCTGCCAGGGAAGCCACCCCCAAGGCCGCCTGTCACTGGGGCACCAGCACAGACTGGACTCAGCCCTCCTGTCACAAGGTGTCCTCAATAGCCATCGGTGCGCCACGCTGATGCTCAATGGCACAAGGCTGTCACACTAAGAAACTGGAGCCCAGAGGCCTCCCACCCCCCCCCCAAGACTCTTGCTGGAATCGGGAGCCCAGCCCAGTGCTGGGGCAGCTTCCCCCCCAGGAATGCAGCCTCCTCCCTGCCCACCTGCCACCCAGAGCGTCCAGCATAAAGCACCATACTCCCTGACCTGTGGCCCTGCAGCCCGTGGGGCGGGGGGGGGGGGGGGGAGACTGAGTGGCAGCTTGGCCGGCCATACCTGGCGGTGAGTGAGTGTGAGGTAACTGGGGCTTCCCAATGCAGGAAGGGCACACTCTGCAGCTGGATGTGCATGTCATATAGGCCCTGGGGGACAGGCATCACAATGCATGGGGGCCTAATGACACAGTGATTCCCCAAGGGCCCCCCACCATGCTAGCCCCCAAGSCAGGGCACCAGACACACTGTGCCTGCCTCTACAGGTGGCTTCACAGGGACCCTTCCCTCTATATCTAGTTATATGGCCCACACACCTCGATGAAGACATCACCCACGATCTTGGCAGTCATCAACACCAGCATGATGGGGAAGCCGTAGGTCACATTGCTGGTGGCCTCCATCATGATGACCGTCAGGCTCAGGGTCATCCTCACAATCCCTCCTGTAGGAAGTGCATGTGAGCCCTATCCTCCTGACAGCGGGGCCCAGCTCAGCAGGGTCCAGCTCCCAGGAGACTGCTGGTGTGGTCATGCCCCAGGGGTGGTGCCAACTTCTGCCTCAGGCCTATTTCCCAGGCTTCTGATTTTTGTTCTGTTTTTGGTACTGGGGATTGAATCCAGGGACGCTTAACCACTGAGCCACAGCCCTAATTATTTTTCATTTTGGGATTGTCTAAGTTGCTGAGGCTGGTCTTGAATTTGTGATTCTCCTGCCTCAGCCTCCCAAGCTGCTGAGATTACAGGCCTGTGCCACTGCCCCAGCCTAAGTTGTTCTTTTAAACCGAGTGCCGACTAGATGTGCAAGGCCAGCTCTGGCTGTGCTTACCACAGGTGGGTTACTGAGAATGAGCCCTGCTGACCTCATGGGGCCCACCCCATCAACCAGGCAGGACCCAGGACTCACCGAGCTGGGCCGCAGCGCCCATGAGGGCGTACTTGCCAGGGTCCGCCCAGATCTGTGGGAGGCAACCCAGGGAGAAGTCCATGTGGCAGCAGCTCCCACCAAACCCACCAGGAGGCACCCAGGAGGGCCTGGCCACCCCATGGTGTCACACACCCTCTGTTTAGCCACTCTATAACTGACCCAGGGGCACCTTACCACAGGCGGGAGAGCAGACTGCACTAGCTGGACATGCTAGTGAGCTGGGCAGACAAGGCTTCGCCCAGGCCCAGGTGCTCTGAGTACAGGCCTAGACACCAAAAAACAGTGCCCAGCCAGCGGGGATTCTAGCAGGCCCCAGCACACAGGGGCCACACACTGTGACCCACTGATGGGAAGTGTCCAAGACAGGCAAATGCAGAGGGCAGGGAGGAAAAATGGGCTCCCTGCCAGATGGAGAAGACTCTTGTGGCCACAGGACGCTGAGCAGGGTGCTGAGCTGGCGTTCACCACCACAGCGCTGTGCCTCTCCAAAGGCAGAATTTTATGCCATGTGAATGTGTCTCAGTTTGAGACACGATGGCCATGCATGTGATCCCAGGACTCGGGAGGCTGAGGCAGGAGGATGGCAAGTTTGAGGCTAATGAGGGCAACTTAGTGAGAATCTGTCTCAACATACAAAATAAAAAGAGCTGTTGATGTGGCTCAGTGGTAGGACACTCCTGGGTTCAATCCCTGGTACTGAGGGTGGCAGGTAAAAGAAAAGCCAAACCGAAATAAACTATGCCAGAGAGGCCAGAGGGCACCGAGGGCACCGAGAGCCCCGAGCAAGCCTGGGCAGCGAAGTGGGGCAGGTATGGACTTCTTACTGCAGCCTCCCCTTTTCTGTTGTGCTGGGACTAGACCCAGGCACTCTATCCATGAGACACATCACCAGCCCCTATATTTTATTTAAAAGTTTGAGAAAGGCTAAGAGCTAAGTTGCTGAGGCTGACCTTGAACTTGCAACCCTCCTGCCTCAGCCTCCCGAGTACCTGGGATGACAGGCGTGCACCAGCACCCAATCACTGTGACCTGTCTGGTGATGTTTTAATCTTATTAGATAACTGAAAAGTTGAACAGACCCAAAACACAAAGCAAAAAAACAAAACCTGGAGCACTGTAGAGGCAGACAAGAGGAGGGAGGGGCTGGAAGGCCCTGCTGGGGGGGCCTGACCCAGCTTATCCCTTAGCCCTGGGCTCCCTACTTTGCTACGTCCCCGCAGTCTGCAGCATGCACAGTACAGCAGCATAGCCCACCTGCTGCTGCCCACCTGTCCTGGGCGCCCTGCTGTCTCTGACAGTGGCCCCCAGACAAGGGATTAAGGGGAATCTCAACTTCAGGGCCCCAGCCTCCCTCCTCCAGTTCCCACTCACCGCTGCCCCCGTGAGGTAAGACAGGGAGATGCCAAAGAGCCGGCCCCAGGCAGCCCCGATGAGCAGGGATGGGATGAAGACGCCTGCAGACACAGTGAGTCCATAGGTCCAGCAGGCCAGGAAGAAGTAGACCAGGGTGAACAGGCCCAGGGTCACGGGGTTGTAGGAGCCTAGGGGAGCAAGACCACTGACTGCCCACCCGACTCATGCCTGTGTGCACTGCCCCACCTGGTCCATGTGGCCATACCCAGGGAGCCAGGCCCCCTGAAACCCAAGACAAGAGGCTCCCTGAAGGCTCGGTACTCTCCACCTCCCTGGGGAAAAGAAGGGACTGGTCAACCAGAAGGGGAAGTGGTGGTGACAGTGACCTCAAGCCAGCAGAGCAGATGTGAAGCCCAGGGTGACAGCCTAGATCCCACATCCGTGGCCCATCCATGATCCCCAAAAAGCTTGCACCCAGGCGACTGTCATTGGGATGGGGAGTCACATAGGCTGCTGAGGAAGCAGCTGGGCTCCCAGCCCTGCTAGACTTGTCCTCAGTCTGACCTCAAACTGACCAGCTGAACTGGGAGGTGTCTTTCCTCCAAGTCTGAGCACAGCTCAACTTCGGAGGACAGGCCCTGTGGTCCAAAATGGCCAGTGTTACAGAGCCTGTCCTCCGAAGTTGTCCTCCTGGTTGCATTCTGGGAAGATGTCACATCTGGGAGGGTGGACAGTAGCCAGGGCAGGAGCCACTCTTGGCAACTGGCTGAGCCAAGTCCTAGGAGGCAGCTTCTTTTTGGACGAGGTGCTAAGAGGTCAGGTTTGGAAGACTGGGCTAAGTGGAGAGGGAACATCCAAGGTGGCCAGAACATGGAGATCTGAAGGCTGGGGACCAGGAGGGCAAGGGGGTGGAATAGGGAGGTGTTGCCTACACCCCGGCAAAGAGTGCTATAGTACAGGCCAGCAGGACCGGAAAGGAGTAGGCCAGGGAAGGCAGAGGTCTGTGGGGAAGGCACAGTCCACACTAAGCAACCGCCTGCAGGAGACATGGCCAGACACTACTGGAACCATAGCCAGTTGCAGGACCCTGGTGTGCACACAGGGGACCCAGGCCTACCTCGCTCCACACTTAAAAGGGTTTCTGCTAAGTCTAACCCTCACACACACATACACACACATAGACCCAGAATCAAGGACAGATGTCCTCACTGGCCTTGTGATAGGCCAGGAGGGAGCAGAGCTTGAGACAGGCACCAGAAAGCTCAGCTCTGTGTGGCCCAGTGTGCAGGGCCTGGCTCTGGGCACCTGCTGCACCGCTGTCAGACAGCCTGGCACTCAGAAGGCTAGGTTTCCTGATTGAATACACTGGGAGGTGAGCCAGAGGCAGCCCTAGGCCATCCCAGAAAGGAAGAGGATGGCATGGCCATTGGACACCTGGCTGGCCGCCCTCCAGGTGCTTGGCCACAAGGTAACCTCTGCAACCCGGGCACACTGCACCACGCAGGACGACCCTTCCAGCCCAGGACAAGGACCGCTGGGCTGAGACCCTGCCCGCTGCCCCAGCAGGCACACCTGGCGGGTCATGGAACAGGCTCACCACGCTCCTTTCGGGGGTGTTGAAGAAGGCTGCGGCCATGGAGTTGTACTCGCCATCTGCACAGAAGAGCTGCAGGGTCGGGAGGGAACAAGCTGGAAGGCAGCTGGCCCTGGGGCTATGTTCGGGCCCACCCTGCCCCTGCTGCCTGGGGAAATGGGCAGCCAGGGGCCCTGTGAGCACACTGCCAGAGCCAGCGGCCAGATGCCAGCCACTGCAAGCCCCAGGCCCAGGCCTGCCCCTCCTGGGCTAAGGCAGAGCTGGGCTGCAGCAAAGCTGGCTTGTCCACTGTGACCCTGACTACCTTTGCAAGTCTGTTCCCATCTGTCTCCACCAGAACTCATTCCCCCTCTGCCCCCACCCTGGGCAGGGGCTACTCATCCTCATCCTACCTCCAAGGGGAATTGCAAAGGCCCTGTGTCTGGCCTCTCACCAAGCACATTTTTAAGGCTCATCTGGGCCACAGCTAGCTTCCTGCTGTGGAAGGGCACTTCACTCTGCTAGTGGATGGACATGTGGGCAGCTGCCACTTTGGGCTACTACAAATAAGCGGCCAAGAACATCCCCATGAGGCTCCTCTGTGGCTGGGAGATTGTGTTCCTTGAGCCTAGAGCTCAAGCCCCATCTGGAGGCTAGTCTGGGAAGAGGATCACAGTGAAAGCAGCCAGCACCATGCCACCCCAGACAGGACAGGTCTGCAGTGCACCAGCCAGCTGGCTCTGGAGCTCCTCTTGCAGGGAGCAGCATACAAGCCAGGCTGGAGGCCGGCCCCCAGGACTGCACCTGCCCATCTGGGCCCAAGGCCTACCTGCAGTGGATAGGACATGGAGTTCTGCAGGGGCTGGCAGTCCCGGGACGAGTAAATCAACACGAAGGCAACGGTGGCAGTGACAGCAGCCACGAGCACGGCTTCAATTACCTGGAGACACGGCCGGTGGATGTACCTGGAGCCAAGAGCCAGGGGCGATCACTGCAGGGACACCCTCAGCGGCTACCATGGCAACCTGACCAGGCCATCTACTAGGAGGGCCAGGAGGCTTAATAATCAATCTGTCCAGTCTCCAGGGCGTCCTAGCTATCTTCCTCCCTGCAGTGATTAAGGCTTCCCAGCAGCAAGACTCCCCCACCTCTGCTGTGGGAAGTGCTCCCACCAGCTCTCCTGCTCCACTGGTAGCTGTCACTGGAGCCAGAACAGGGTGGGGGTGGGGGTGGGTGAGTGCTTCCGCAAGCCCAGAGCTGCTCCCTACAGGCTGACCATGTGTAGGAAGGACAATGGTGTCTAAGTCAGAGCTACCAGACCCACCCTGGCTGACCCTTGGGTGAGGAGCCCTCATACTCTTTCTGGAGGTTCTCCAACCTTAGGCCTGGGGTCCCCCTCCCCAGTTAAGCCAGTGTAGACCACCCACTTCACAGGCCCCGTGTAACCACAGCTATCAACATGGCATCCAAGACAGAGGCTCTTTCTCACCTGATTCGAAACATCGTCACCCAATAATTCAAGGCATTGAACACGGCTCCAAGAATGCCACCTACAACCAGGAGGCAAACTCCCGTCAGTCACACAGGGAGGAAAGGGTCCCGGCAGCAGAGTAGCCGGGACCCTGGTACAGAGGACCAACACACTCTAGGCTCTGCCTTCTTTTCAGGAAAATGGATTCACAGAGCAGCACTGCTCACGTGCTCCTCACCACAAAACTGAAACCCAAATTCCTAAGTACAGACAAGACCCACAGAAGGAAGACTCCGCATCCTCACGACAGGTTACAACCTAAGGCAGGTACTGTAAGAACTCCTAGGTAGCCCCTTGTGCACAAGCAGCAGGGGACAGAAGACCTCTGTGTTGAAACATGGTCTCTTCCCCAAAGTATCTAATCATGAACATGAAAATGTACTAGAATTCAAAACAAAAATCCAAACTCGGAATCACTGCTTGTCCTGAGCAGTGATTGGATAGGGGACCTTCACCATGGAGGCCATTGGGCCCACTCTGCTCCAGGGGATCCCATCACTGCCCCTGCAACTTCCAAGAGAGAGAAAACTGCAGAATGCAAAAATCTGGCACATTCCTGAGCCCTCCACTTCCAGTGGCCCCTCTAGAGGAACCTGGAGGAGAAGGGCCCCGTGGCGGGGTGGACAGTCCTCCCTTACCCACCACGCCCCCAGCACAGGTTTCCAGCCGTCTGTYCTAGGGTAGGGCCTTACCCACCACGCCCATGACGATGAAGACGGGGATCTCGTGGATGGTGTATGCCATCTTCTGTGGCACAGAGGGGACAAAGCGAGACATGCCTGGTCATGACACCTGCCCATGTGTGTGGCACTTCCCACACCTGCACACAGGGCCGTAGAGCTCCCCCGGGTAGAAACGTGGGTGCTCTACGCAGGTCTGTCCCTGCTGTCAGTCTAGCTAGTCTGGGCAGCTCATGCAGCCCAGGGGCCTGCACAGGGGCGYCAAGGCTCTGCTGGGCAGGTCTCCACACGTACCCTGAGCACCCACAGGGCCCTGAGGCTGGGAAGAGCTCAGTTCCCCAGGCTGCATTCCCACCCTAGCCTTAGTGAAGGGCCATCCATCCTGGCACTGGAACAGCAGGATAGGGCGGGGTGGGTACCTCCGAGTCGAATCTCCCGAAGTTGATGAGGCCTGGGCTGGACAGGTCCCACATGTTTCCGTGGTAGATGCTCAGAACAAAATTCAGAGTGAAGGTGGAAACCATGGAAGCAAAGAACTGTGGGACAGAAAGACCAACAGTTCAGCCACCGGCACCCCGGGGATACCTTGAGCCAGGCTGGGAGGCTGAGGCTCCTGTCATTCAAGAGGGCCCTGGACTGAGCAGGCTGAACCTACTGCACAACCGTGGACAGCACTGGAGACAAGCTAGCAGAGGACGTGAGGGAAGGCAAGGGCCAGTCCCCTGGAGCCGCCTAGGTGGACAAGGCTCAACACAGAAGGTGAGATGTCCACTCTGCCCTGCTGCCTCTCCTCAGGAGACCTGGCGGGGTGTCAAAGGCACTCACGATCCTCCATGTCAGGAACTGGTTCCAGAAGGAAGCACCTTCCTCCAGGCTGAACAGGACTCCACCTGGAAGGCAGTGGCCACGCTTGACATGCACCTGAGGGGCAAGGGCACTGTACCCTGGCACCGCCCACCCCAGGCCCCAGGAAGAGGGATCTCTGATGAGGTCCAAAGGCCAGAGTCTCCTTTCCCTCAAGTGGCAGCGGGTGGGGAGGATCCCTGCTCACCCACAGGGGCTCCAAAAGCAGCTGACACCCCAGCTGCTGCTCCTGCAGAGACGAAGTCTCGCTTCTCTGTGTCTCTGCGGAAGTACTCAAAGATCTGAAACRGGAAGAGGCCGAGGGCCCTGTGGCAGGTGCTCCAGAGCACACCTTTCAGAAGGAAAGGAGGCCTGAGAGACCAGAGCAGGGAGGGCTCTGCTTCACAACCCCACCGCCTGACCCAGCCACCACAAGTGACCATGCAGGCTGCTAGCACATGGGCCCTGGCCAAGCCTGTCTGCAACAGTGCACACAGGAAGCCTGTCAGGAGTCTGTTGCACAACCAAGAGATCCAAAAAAAACCAAGAGAGCAGAAAACCGAAACTACCCTTGATCTTGAAAAAGGATTGTTTTCTGGCTGGCACAGTGGCTACACCTGTGATCCCTGGTCCTTGGGAGGCTGAGGCAGGAGGATGGTAAATTCAAGGCCAGCCTCAGCAACTTAGTGAGACCCTGTTCCAAATAACAAACAAGAGCAGTTGGGGTGTAGCTCAGCAGTAAAGCACCCCTGGGTTCAACATGCAATACCAAAAACAAAGGACCATGTACTATAGAAATGTTCATTCTCTCTTAACTCACATAAAAATTCAGTGCAATACCCATCAAAACGCCAGGGACCTTGCAGGCAGATGGCAGGAAGCCATCCCAGAACGTCTCAGAAGCAAGTGTCGTGGATATACATGAAGACTGAGCCACTGCAGGCGGCCAGGGCGGAGCCACAGACCCTGTCCACATAATTGCACACCCCACACAGCACCAAAACCATAGGGCAAGTCAGAGAGGCCACTGGGTGGGAGTGGAGGAATGGTGTCTGCCTTATCTGGCCAGGCCAGGTGTCCCTCAGGCAGAGACAGGTGGGGACAGGCTATTTGCCCTGCTGGAGCCAAGATATAGGTCTCAGTGGGACTCCGCATGGGGCAGTGATGGCTGAGGAACAGTCATACACAGGTCTATGTGGGGGGCTCACCTTGAAATCTCGCTTCAGTGATGTTGACCTCCCCTGGGAAATTCCCGCGGCAATCACAGACCCAGAATGGATCATCGGACCTTCCTGGAAGCACAGTGAGCAGCACTCAGGGACACCCATGGGCCTCGGTGACTTACAGGGATGGGACACAGGCTGGGGCAGCATCCATAGTAGTTACCTTTCCCACGGCCAGGCCCCCCACCACAGACAGAATCACGCCGGACACCTTGATCACCAACGTCTGGAACACAAGGGAAAGCACAGCCTCTATGCCAAGGGCAGAACTCTCGGCACCTGAGCAGCAAGGCCACGGGCACAGGAGGCACCACAGCCACAAAGCCACATGGGCTTGCTGCTGCCCACAGCCCTGTCCTTGGTGGAGGGTTTCCTCCTGGTCCTCCTACTAACGCACATGCAGGGGGCAGCTGTGCTCCCACTCAGCACACATGCAGGGGATGCATGCCCTCTGTCGGGCCAAGCACTCCCCAGGCAAGGGGGTGGGTCTGTCCTCCCTCCCTGCCCCCTCCTACAGACTCATCAGAGGTGACTCCTGCATGGATATACAGCCTCCCACGCCCATCTGAAGGCATTCATGCCGGGGCAGGAGCCAGGGCAGAGCAACCCTCTGGAAGGTTCCAGTCACCCTGGGTGGGAATCAGGTCAGAGGCCATCTCCAGCAGCTCCAGGTCCATCGTACTCTATAAAAGTGCAGGACTCTCCCGGCTGCCAGCTCCCTGGAGTATGGCCACACTGACTCGCCCTGGCCATAGAGCATAGGCCCTGGGATGGGGACAGGAAGCAGCCCCTGGCCATCTCCAGCTAGGAAGAGTGACTACGCAAATGTTAACAGCTGGGGGCCCAGCCCCCATGGAACTGGGATGCTACTGAGGATACGGAGCATGAAGAACACCAAAGAAAGCACTGAAGAAAGGGGAAGGGTGGGCCAAGGCCAGCGCTCTCGCCTGGCCGCTCAGCTTCTCAAACACTGCCTACCACAGTCCTTGGTCACAGACACACTCCCTGTGGCTGTAGTCACACACACGCAGGCTCAACCTCTCTGCACCACGTAAGAGATACCAAGACCAGTCCCTGCCATTGGGCTAGGTCTGGAGGGGTAATGGACAAGACAAGCCTTTGGATTCCACAGTCCCTGAAGGAGCACCTGTTGCACATAGGGTCCCCACATGTGCCTCACCTTGAGCCGCACCACGTGGGGAATCTTCACCCCATTGAGGAAACACTTGATCTGGGGGATGCCACTGCCGGCAGCGACTGGCTRGAAGAGGAGGAAGGTGCCACTGGGCCAGTGGAAGGAGTGGGGCAGCCCCGAGGCAGGAGGCCCGGCCTGGCGAAGGCTGGCCCCGGGTACAGGTTCTTGCCCCCTTGCCCAGAACCACCTCCCAGATAACCCTGCAGATGTGGAAGGGACTGCTGGCAGAGCCAGAAGGCCCCTGTGGATGGGGGCCTGCCCCAGGAAGGACAGGACATCATCATGCACCAAGCAAGCACAGCTTCCTCTGCATAGGGCACCGCTCTACACTCAGCAGAAGGCTCTGGGTACTGGCATCTCTTTCCTCTAGCACCCCACAGCGAGGACAAGAAGCACAGGGGCCCATGAGAGGGACGATGCCTTAGGATGAAGGGACGCCTCGGGTGGATGACACCTCAAGTGGGCGTGTGCAGTGCCCAGGGAAGGCTGGTCCTGCTTCCACCTCTACCCGGGTCTCTGGACAGTTAGCCCTGTCCCCGAGACCCGGGCCCTGGAGCGCCTGTGTCCAGCTGTGACGATGCCAGGGCAAGGTGCCGGGCCTGTGTGGTAGGTGGGATGAGGTGGGGTGGGCGCAGGCCTATGCTGCTGGGGCAGCAGTGGCTCTGCCCAGCCTGGGATGAGGAGACCCCGATGTGTTTTCTGCCTTCATTGAGTGGTTTTCCACAGGCACCACCTGATTCTCACTAATAGAAAGCAGTAGTCACCAGCCAAGGGGCTCCATTCACTAAGACCCTGGCCATGCTGGTCTAAAGTACCCAGGACTTCCGGCAGCAGGTGTACCTCTACGAAGGCCACGATCACGGAGCCCAGGAACACAAAGGCGGCATTCAGGGTGGCCCACAGCAGCAGGGAGAAGGACAGCCCGCCTTTCTCCGTGAACTTGTCAATATCTGGTGGCTTGTCAGGGATGGGGYGCTGCATCACTGAGCCCACACCCGCCAACCCTACCCCACTCCTGCAGTCAGACTGGGGCAGAGTGCACCTGCACAGAGGCCGCTGGCTGCCAGCCCGGCAATGGTACCGACTGGACGGCTCAGACTTCTCCTGGCAGGAGCTGGCCATGTCTTGCAGGGCTGGCCACTGCACCACTTGACCACTCCACCACCGAGCCCCAGCTCCCACCCTCACTCTGTGTAGGCAGCTGAAAGGATACTGTCCTTGATGACCCTGTATTTGAGACCAGCCAAGTTCTCTACCACAATGTCAATGAAGCAGGCCACAAGGCCTGTGAGGATCCCAATGAGAGCACAGATGACCCAGCGCTTGATCTCCACTGTCCGGAAGGCCTGCTGGGAGGAAGGTATGGTCAGAAGTGGGTGGCAGCCAGATGCCCTGGTGCAGGTGGCTCTGGTACCAGCATGAGGGGCTCCTGGGAGTCAGGTCCCCACCTTGCACAGTGGACCACGCTCAGGGACCCAAGTCCTCCCAAGGGCAGCCTCTGACCAATGTCTCAGTCTTTAAACAACATTTCAGTGACTATAGAGCACCTCGGGGTCCAACAAGTTCCCAATCAGCTGTGGATGTCCTGGAGCCACACTTGATATTTCAAGAACATCCTCCCAGTAAGGACAACAACACTCCTGCCATTTTGAGTATGTGCTATCAAGGGTCACAAGCTTAGGGCTCCCCCAAGGACAAACCAGAGGGACAGAGAGTGGCTCCCAAACCCAGACTCTTGGGGACAAGGAGGAAGGGAGATGAGCAGAAGCACTGTCCATCCAGCCTGAGGACAGGGCCCAGCTGGAGGGTAGGGACCCACCCACTCACCGTGTGGTTGATCCTCCGCTCTTCCTCCAGGAACAGCTGATTCTCACTGTTGTCATAGTCCAGGCTCTGCGGAACAGGGCAGCAAGGGCTGCAATTGCTGATCAGTTACTGAAGGGGAGATAGACGCAAGTGCAGCCAGGCTGGGGTGGGAGGCTCGAGAGGGCAGGGTCTGAAGCCAGTAACAGAAGAGGGGGACCCACCTCATATGTGAGGGACAAGAGCTTTTCATTGTGTGGGATCTCCTTAGGGAAGGGGTGGGACGAGTCCCTTTCCTGTGGAAGAAAAAGGCAAAGGTACACGCTCTTTGGGAACAAGGTACAAGGGGCCACATCTCAACCTGACCCAGAGCCAGCCTCATCCTAATGCCAAAGGTGGGCCAGATACCATAAGGGACCTGCAGCCCAACATTCCCTTTGAACACAGATACAGAAACCCTCAATCAGATCTGTGCACCAGGAGCCCAGCCGCACCACCAACGTGGACTGTTCCAGAAGGCAAGGTAGGTCTGGCACCCACAGTCACCTCTCCCAGATTGTGCAGGAAACTGTGCTGAAGGAAGCCCAAAGGCTATGGGGCCATCGGGACAGGCAGAAATCCAGCATCTTCTTAATTAAACATCAATACAGCAGAAGGCAGGCCAACATCTCAACCTGCTGGAAGCCCCAAGAAAGCCCATAGGCAGTACCCCACCACAAGTGAACAGCAGGGATACGCCCAGCCAGGATGAGGAGTGGGCTCTCACCACTCGTAATCACCTCTAAGTTGAAGGTTCCTGCCAGAATTTCTCACATATAGAAAGCTACTACAATGAGTAAACACATTCAGTCAGATTAAAGGGTACAAAATGAACTGTCTTCCTCTGCATTTGCAGCAAATAACCACAAACAAAAGAGTCAATTCTGTTTATAACAGTGTCTAAAGTATAATGCAGCTGGGCATAGTGATGCTGGCCTGTGATTCCAGCCTGGGGCAGCTTAGACAGACCCTGTCTCAAAGTAAAGGGCCAGAGATGAATTCAATCCCCAATACCACAGAAAACGACTGACAAGTCTTCAGGACCTTGGCTCCGGGGGAGGCTTCTCAATCACCATACCCAACGCACAAGTAGTGCAAAGCAGGTAACTGGGACTTCATCAAAATAAACACGTGTGCATTGAAGAACACCAAGACAGCAAAAAGAAAACTCACTGAGTGGGAGAAAGTATTTACCAGTCACTTATCTAGTGGAATATTTGTGTCCAGAATATAGAAAGAACATCTATGAGCTAGGGGTATGGCTCAGTGGTGGAGAGCTTACTAGTGTTCTAGGGCCTTGGGCTCTATCCCAAACACTGCAAAAAAGAAAGAAAGAAAGAGAGAGAGAGAGAGAGAGAGAGAGAGAGAGAGAGAGAGAGAGAGAGAAAGAACGAACGAACAAACTCCCATAACTCAGTTATTGAAAAGCAAATAACGGGGGCTGGAGTTGTGGCTCAGTGGTAGAGCACTTGCCTAGCATGTGTGAGACCTGGGTTTGATCCTCAGTACCATATAAAAATAAATAAATAAAACAAAGGTATTGGGCTGGGGTTGGGGCCTAGTGGCAGAACATTTGCCTAGCATGTGTGAGGACTGGGTTCAATCCTTAGCACCTTGTAAAAATAAATAAAATAAAAGCATTCTGTTCATCTACAACTATAAAAAACAAACAAACAAAAGTATTGTGTCTGTCTACAACTAAAAATAAAAAAATAATAATAATGTAAACCAGGCATGGTGGCAAACGCCTATAGTCCCAGCAACTTAGGAGACTGAGGCAGGAGAACCATGAGTTCAAGGCCAGCATCCATAACTTAGTGAGGTCCTAAGCAACTTAGCAAGACCCTGTCTTAAAATAAAAAATAAAAAGGATTGAGAATGTAGCACAGTGGTAAAGCACCCCTGAGTTCAATCCCCAGCCACTCACGCTCCCCAAAAATAATTTCGCTTAGCTGGGGGTAGTGGTACCTGCCTACAGTCCCAGCTACTCAGGAGGCTGATATATGAGGATCATAAATTTGAGGTCAGCCTGGAAAAGTTTGCCAAACCCTATCTCAAAATTTCAAAAAGTTCTGGCAATATAGCTCAGTAGTAGACTGCTTGCCTAACATGCTTGAAGCCCTGGGTTTAACACTCAAAACCAGCTGAACAAATAAAAATCCCCTCAAAACAAGAATAATCCAATTAAAAATGTGCACAGACTCCACACAGGCATTTCTCCACAGTCGTGCATGAGGACACTCAGCATTGCTAGCMATCAGGGACAAATCTAAACCACAACAGGTACCACAAGGCAGGGTGCAAGCGGCCAGCTAGTGGGGGTGCAGGAAACGTTCCCATGGCAACTGCTGGACAGGGCACCCCATGCCTGGCTCACTCTGCTGGGCCTCCGGGCTCCAAGGCCCTCCTCCTCCTCTGCTTAACTGCCTGTACCGGCCCTCGCAGCAGGCAGCCCCGGCACAGTGGGGTGCAAGCCCTCTGCTTGCTGGTAGGACGCAGCTCTGCAGGGGTAGGAAAGGGTGCAGGGCCACCACTCACCGGGTCCAGGAGCTCATCGTCCAGCTCCACGTTGCTCATCTGTCCAATTCGGAAAGACACGGAGTGAGGCGACTAGGAGCAGAACAGAGGTTGTGAGCATGCAAATGTGCAACACACCCACCCCTGCCCAGCTGGCACCACCCTCCTCCTGCGGGAGACAGGTCTGCTCCTGACCCCCACGGCCCCCCCCGGATGCCCAGTGCCCATCTCTTGTTTTAGGATGGATATGGAGGGCTCACCACCTGCCAGGATGAAGGGCTGGAGATACTCCTAGACCAGCCAGTGTCCATGCTGAGGAGCCCCACCCTCCCCACTCACCCAGATCCCGAGGGGCCCACTGCCTACCACCTACTCAGCACTGCGTCCAGAATGGCCTCTCTGCCCCATGCCTGGATTTGAGTATGTGCACATCTCCCAAAAGGCCTGTGGCAAAGAACTGGGTGGGTCCTGCCCCACTGAGTCTCCAGGGTGGTGCAGCTCAGCTCACGCAGCAATGCCCTTTGTTGTGACTCTCCCCTGACTCTGGGGGCCCTGACCCACTCAGGAGCACCTCCTGGCTGCGCCCAGACCTGCCCAGCCCATCCTCCTCTGTCCGGAGACCATCTGATTAGCTGCTCCCAACCATGTCCCAGACCTTCACAAAAGGGCTGGGGTGGGAAGATAGAGGGGCCAGCTTCTCGGCTGAGGGAGAGCCATGTGTGGGCAGTCTGCTGCCTGTGTTAGAAAGCAAACATGCCCATGAGGGGAAAGAAGAGCCTGGAAGTGAGGAGACTCCATGCCATGTCTAGGCCACCCACAGCTGTCTCCACCCAGACAGCAGCAGCCATCCTGGTGGCCAGCATTTCCACCAACTCCTCTCCCTGTACCTTTCTTGCTCTCAGGACCAGCCCTCCCCAACAAAGGCTCTGTGGAGGCAGGGAGAGGTACAGAGTCCTGCAGCAGGGCTCCATCTGTTTCCACCCCATCCCATCCCAGCTGGTGATTAGCCAACAGGTGAGGAAACCAGAGCAGAAAAGGAACTTATAGGCCAGAGGTCTCTGAAGACTGGTGTGTATGGGGAACCTGACACTCTGGAGAGCTTGCCCCAAGCCACATCCCAACTAGTTGCCAGAACTTGACCTTCCCAGCCCAGTGCTCCCAGGGCCCCTGGAGCTCCTGTCTCTCTCTGCAGGCCCCAGTCCTCATAGGACCCGGCATGGCAGACAGGCAGGCGGATTCCAAGTCAGTCCCCCACAGACACATAGCCAAAGGTTCCTCCTCCCACCGCTTCAGAGAGCTCCCAGGACCCCTCTTCTGTGAAGCTGGCCCCATTCCTCAGGAGCAGAAGCTAGGCTAGGCCAAGACTCTCAGGTGTCCCCACATCTTCGTGCAGATGTGCGCCAGCCTACCATATGGTCCTGAGCCTGAGAGTATGCAAGGTGAGCAGAAATACAGTCTTCAAGGGCATTGCCTGGCAACAGGAGGCAAAGCCCCAAACATGAAGGACCGGGAGGCTAACAGGAGGGCACAACAGCAGGACCACCAAGAGGCCCTCACCGCCCCCATTGCTGAGCTACCTTGGCAGACTGGAGTGGGAGCTGCGGGAGCCAGCAGAGGAGAGCTTGGGGATGGGCGTGACCTCGAGGAGGTCGGACAAGGGTGAGCTTGGGTAACTGATGTATTAAGGCAGGGCTCACAAGGATCTGCTGCAGGGCACTATAGCAGTTCCTGGCTTCCACACCAGCTGCACGACCTGGGGGGGTCTGCCCTACACTAGCACTGCAACCTCCCACTGAGCCCTAATTATTTGAAAGTCACATCAAAGATTTCTACGGTCAAAGGAAATATCAACAGAGTGAAAAGGCAACTTCCAAAACAGGAGATCTGTGCAAATCATGGCATCTGGTGAGGGACTGACAGGCAGAACATAGAAAGGAGTCCTGCGAATCACCTGCTAAAACCAAGCAACTCACCCCAACAACAGCCAAGCCCCAAAACAGACTTCTCTCCAGAGAAGACACACCAGCACCCACTGGCTGGTAAGCACACCCAGGGGTGCCCCAAGCCCCAGTGAACTGCCACCACACACCTACCAGGAGGGCATCACAGAGGAGACGGGAAGCAACAGGGCCAGCAGGGCAGGGAGCTGCTTCAGGTGTAAGACGGAGTAGCCAATGACATGGAGCACAGTCTAGTGGCTCCTCAGAAAAAGCCAGAACACTGCCCTACAAACCACCAACTCCACGTCCAGGTTAGCTACCCCAAGAACTAGAAGCCGGGTCTCGAAGGAACTGCAGCGTCACTTGCAATAGCTCAAGTACCCACCACCAGGCAGACAAAAGGCCTGCCCAGGCAGTGGCTTCCATCAGCCACAGGAGGAAAGAACACTGCCATGCACCACCCCCCAGGGCTTGCAATGCAACACTGGGGAACTGAGCCAGTCACAACAGCAAAGACACTGCACGTCCATCCACACACCATACCAGGTCACATCCAGAGACAGGAAATAGAGTGCACTGCCTGGGAAAAGGAAGAGTTATCTAGTGGGAACAAAGTTTTAATTTTGCAAGATAAAAAGTTCTAGAGATTGATTGCACAACAGGAATATACTAGACACTAGTGAATTATGTTCTTTAAAAGAAAAAGTGCGGGCTGGGGATGTGGCTCAAGYGGTAGCGCGCTCGCCTGGCATGCGTGCGGCCCGGGTTCGATTCTCAGCACCACATACCAACAAAGATGTTGTGTCCGCCGAGAACTAAAAAAATAAATATTAAAAAAAAATTCTCTCTCTCTCTCTCTCCTCTCTCACTCTCTCTTTAAAAAAAAAATAAAAGAAAAAGTGCTAAATTTTGTTATATGCTTTTTACTACAATTTTAAAAACATTTTTTGAAAATCAGTTGCCGGTAGGTGCTGTCCACCATGTATCCCAAGATCCCAGGCACAGCTGCCACTTGCCAAGCTCCACGCTGAGCACTGAGGACACAAGCCGGGAACTTGGAAAGGACACCAGGTCACACACAAAGCTGAGCACACACTGACAGAGGCAAGCGACAAGAGCAAAAGGTCTGCTTTAGACACAGTGGCCAAGGGCCTCTGGAGCGGAAGGCATCTAGGCTGACCTGGCGGATGCAAGGAGTCAAAGCCCAAGACCAGAAGAGCAGCTAGAATGCAGCGAGTGCAGAGGCAGTAGAAGCAGTCCTGGCTGTGGGGACTGTGCACTATGGCCCCTGGGGGTTTCCCGGGGCCCTCCAACCAGGTCCAGGCCCAGCTGAATCCCTCAACTCTGTTCCCTGTTGGGCCATGGACCATACCTGTGTCCTAGGCTGATTTTAGCCCACCTAAGCTTCTGGGACGGAGCTGCTGACCCTAAGCAAAGTGGGGCTGGGGCTAGGTAGAGGGCAAGGGAAGGCCAAGGACTTTCTAGGAGGGGCTGAGAACAAACAGTGCTTGCTAGAAGAGAACAGAGTTCAAGGGGATGACCAGAGGACCCTCCCCACCACTTCACCACACCCTAGGTCTCCTCAACAGTGCCCTCAGATCCCGTGATCTGTAGCTCTGGGTTGCCAAGGCAGGACACAGTCCCACACCAACCTGAGAGCCTCCTCTGCTGGGACTCTTGGTTTCCCTGCGTTTGTAGGTATGTCCTGGATTTACCAGCACTGCAGTGTGCCCCGCCCCCACTCTGCCCTGCCTCCACTCTTCCTGGCTCAGACTTCCCTCAAAAAGCTCTCAAAATGCTGTTCTTCCAACTGTCCACACACATGACCATGACCGGCTTGGTGACCTCATCCTTCCCCTCTCCCACTGTCACCCTGTGCTTGGCACAATGGGTCTGGGAACAGGAACAGATTCTGAAGGGACCAAGCTTTCCATAGGGGTCCAGGCATGAACAGGCCACTCTCCAGTCTGCCCTGTCTATGGCAGCAACCTCATGGTGCTCAGACACCTGTGCCCTAGCCAAGATAGCAACCATGCCACCGTCCAATCATGGGACTCCTGCAACAAACCCCGAAGGGCCAAGAGGCAGGCAGAGCAAGCTCTTGTGTCTGCTCACCAGAACTCTCCACAGCAGCTGTGGGCCTGGGTTGGTACAAGGGCCCTGGACCTAGGAAAACTTTCAAAAGCCCTGTCTGCTGCAGCACTGGGGTGCCACTGAACCTACCCACAAGCCTGCCCACCCAGAGGAGACCCCCCTGACAAGAAATGCTGTTAAGGGCATCACACACTAATGCATTTGCAAAGACAAATCACTCTTGAGTTGCTGCATTACATCACTAGGAACAACTGAGGCTCATTCAGAACATGTTTTCTGAGAGGCTCCATGCTCAGGGCTATCCATGCATTAACTATTTTGCAGATAACAAAACTGAGGCACAGGCAGGGAAAAGACCATGCTCAAGACCCTCGGCTGGTCACATGTTCCTGTGCAAAGGTCTTTCAGGACGCCTAGCCTCCAGATTATGCTTGTGCAGTGTGCTGAAGCAGACAGGATCCTAAGCACTGCAGGCCCCAGCCTCCTTCTGGCCTCCACCAGAGCTGAGTTAAACTTAAAGCCAACTCAAGCTCACTGGTCTGACCTTCCTACCCCACAGTGTAATCCACACTGTTGCCGGGTCCCAGACACACATCCCCTTTGTCTACTGCTGTTGTTCCTGCCTGAGGATCCTGTGCCAGTGGGGTGCCTTGCACAGTCCTCCCAGGGTGTTGGGCCTATTTGTAATGGGACAGAAGCTGATTAATGCACTATGGTGTCCCAGGCAAACCACATGGTTTAAATTGTTTGAGAGCAGCTAATCAATACTAACTGCAAATAAAATAGCCTGTAATGACACTTAAAGGAAGAAATCAACACCTCTTTACACACACACACACACACACACACACACACACACACAAACTCCTGTATCTATTTGCAAAGAAAAACAGGAAACCCCATGCCTGTTCATTTCTAGAATAAACCCGAACTCCACCTGTGCCAAAGTTCCATTTTTTTTAACCTATCAGCCCAGTTTTCTTCTTTCTTCTGTTTTATTAACTTCAGATTACTTTACTTTGAAACAGAGAAAACACATAAACCCCAGAAACATCCCAAGAGGAAAAGAGCTAATCACACAGTCCAACCACTCTAACCACTTCAGATCATGGGTTGCAAGCAGCTGTCACTTCAAGGGAGCTGAGCTGCTTCCTACCAGCAACCATCAGACTTTGATTCTCATTGTTTGATACATCTCCCAGGCAGTGCAAAAGCCTTCATATAAGTTTACAAAAATAGCTTGGTTTTTTTGCCCTTCCCAATCTTTAAACACTGTGTGTTTGCCAGACATGTCTAAAACAGAAGAAAAGGTGAAAGATAATTACAAAGACCAAGCCATCAACACAAGTAATTCACTTGACTCAAAGTTAATGCAATCCACACAGGCAGACAGACCCAGGGGTAAATAAGCAAAATAGTAATCCTTCTCCCAACCTTGAGGCTTTTAAAGACGCAAGCTGTGATGACAGCTGAACCCGTTCTCACCCACTCACTCGATGCTTACTGCATTGGCTGCACATTCCAAATCCAATTTCGTGCTGAGACTAGTAGACAGGAGTTATGGCCAAGCACCTGCTGAGTGGGGCTGGGGGTGTGGCTCAGCGGTAGAGCATTTGCCTGGCGTGTGTGAAGCCCAGGGTTCCACCCCCAGTACCGAAAAAAGGAAAAAAACCAATAACAAAAAAACCCGCCCAAAGTCAGGACTAATCTCCACAGAAAGGTTCTCAGTCACTCTCACAGAAATATCAAACCCTGCCATCTAACTTGTTAAAATATCCTGGGATTCAAAAAGCAGTAAATAAAATCACAGTTTGAGAAAGCCGGAAGGACACGGTGGCCATCATGCCAGTGGTTCAGGAGGCCCAGGCAGGAGACCCGCAAGCCTGGGCAACTTGGTGAGACCCTGCCTAAAAATAAAAAGGGCTGGGGTTCGGTGTGGAGCGCACCTGGGCTCAATGCCCCGCACCGCGAAAAAGCAGCAGCAGCGAGCCGGCCGGCGGGTGCCCAGCTCGGGCTCCGGCTCCAGCTCCACTGAGAGGCGCCGCCGCGAGCCCCCGCAGCCTTACCTGTCGCGCGGCGCCGTTCAGCAGCGGCGTCCCTTCGCCCGGCCGCGCTGTCCTCCGCAGCAGCGGCGCCGCCTCCTCGTCGTCGCGGTCGCGGCCGGACCACGACACCTTCTTGGAGACATTGGCCATGGCCCGCGGAGCCGGGACTCGGCAGCAAGCTGCCGCGGCCGGGGAGCGTTCTCGTGACCCGCTCCGGCGCCACGTGACCTGCCCGCGTTCACGTGACCGRAGACGGCGGCCGCGGAGGGCCACGCAGAGACGCCTCCCAGAGCCCTTGCGGGCCGGGGCGCCCCAGCCGAGGCAAGTTTCTTCCGCTCGCCGGCGTGGTAAGACCCCGGGGAGGCTGACGGCTAAAGGCGGCCCGGGGCCTGGCGCTACGGACAGTTGGCGAACAGTCGGTGTCACCTGCTAGATGGCAGTGTCACCGAAGGGGCCGTTTCCTAGTGTGACCGTCCCACGCTAGCTCTCGGGAGCTGCGACGGGCCGCGCCCCCCGGTGGCCACAGTGTGCAGCTCCCCTCAGGACAAGAAGCGAGGCGCTGTCAAGTTCTCGCAAGTGGCCTTTAGCACTTAGCCAGGACAGAGGCAGTGCAAAACGGGGCGACCAAACCGAGACTAACCGTGGCTGCGCTCTCGGGAGAGCGGTGCTCACCGAGAGCTGGCGCGGCCAGGGCCGCCGCGCAGTGGTAGGGCAATTGCTTGGCGAGTGCGGGCCTGGGTGCCCTTGCCAGCGCTGCCGCGGGAGCCCAAGGGGAGGATGCTTGGAAAACCACTACTCACAAGGACTCCAAGAGCCCAAACTTACCATCCCGAAGGGCCATGTTTTTGAAGTGAGACTTGCCCAATGTTGGAGCTGCATTTAAAAAATTCAAAAAAAGTTCAGGTCAAAACCTGCCTGCTTGGGGCTGGGGTTGTGGTGGCTCAGTGGCAGAGCACTTACCTGGTACACGTGAGGCACTGGGTTCGATTCTCAGCACCGCATAAAAATAAACGAACAAAATAAAGATTTGAAGAAGAAGAAGAAAAAAAACTGCCTGCCTGACTTTACTCAAGACAGCTGTGCTCACCGTCCATTCCAAAAATGGCAGACCATTGTTGAAGCTCATGTGGATGTCAAGACTATTAATGGGGTAGGGGATGCAGCTGAAGAAGAGTGCTTGCCTAGTATGTGTGACCTCGTGGTTCGGTCCCCAGCAATGAGAGGGGGGAAAATGCTTATTTACTTCATTTGTTCTTTGTTGGTTTTACTAAAAAAATGCAATAATCAGATTGTAGATTGATCATGTTTGGCACCAAATCTGCCAGATCCAGAAGATGAAAATCATGATTCCAAAGGCTCAGGCAGGAGGATCACAAGTTTGAGATGAGCCTTGGCAACTTAGTGAGCCCCTGTCTCAAAATACAAAATAAAAAGAGCTGAAGACTCCTGGGTTCAATACCTAGTACTAGGAGGGAAAAAGTGATCAATAAATCAATCCTAGAGAGCATTGGGAAAGATGCAGAAAAGGTATCATCTCCATGATGTCCACGTGGAAATGTAAACATGCTGAAGGAAGCCCAGGGTCGTGTTGGGAAGCAACTAGAGCTTCATGGTGAAGGTCTGACCCATCACAGGTAAGACAGGGTCTGCACTGGAACAGGCTGGTGACAGTGAACCCCCAGTCCAGGAATCCATGTGAAATACAGACTTTAAGTGGTGACAAAAAAAGATCACTCTAGGGTACATGTATATGGTGTGCAAACTATTAGTCTTACAACTTTTTTTTAGGTTTTAAAAGTTTTTTTGAGTCTCCAAGGCTGAGAAGATAATAGAACATCTCCTTCTCCAAAATAATTCCAAATAGAAACTRAACCCAGAATAAGAGGAAGGAAGTCCAACAGGGTTTTGAATTTTCCCCATGATTACTGTTTTGTTTCTTAGGTTGAACCCACTTATATTTTTTGAGACAGGTGTAAGGAAAGTGGCACAGGACACACTGAAAATCACCCAGACACATTGAAGCCAAGCAGAAGCAAGTTTATTGTTATTGTCAAAAAACCAGATAAGGCAGAGAGAAAGCAGCAGAGCCTGTACATTGGGGGGTGGGCTTAGCCCTTGCTATTGCAGGTGGAGAGCAAGCTTCAAAACCTCTAGAACCACAAAGGGGGAGAGGCATGAGGAGAAGGCACATTGCCACCAGCTCCTGGAATTGGCAGGCCCCTGTCTGGGAGCACTATGGTCAGGGTGCAGGTGGGTGGACGTGTCAGCCTCTGGGTGAGTGGACTCTTGTAGGAAGGGAGAATAGGAGGGGGAGCAGGGTGAGGTGTCTGGCCAGAATAGAGTTAGCTTGACTTAACTTTCTTAATTAACACATAGTTATGTTAACAGCCTAACAACAGAGTATCACTAAGTTGTTGAGGCTGGCCTCAAACTTGTAATTCTCCTGCCTCAGCTGCCCCAGTAGCTGGAATGACAGGCATACACTGCTCCCTGATTGCTCTGCAGTGCTTTTTGTGAAGTTACAAAAACAATTTTCTTTCTTTTTCATTTTCATTCCTGGGATTGATTGAGCCCAGGGGCATTTAACCACAGAGTCATGTCCCTAGCCCTTTGTATTTATTAATTTGAGACAGGGTATCACTAAGTTGCTTAGGTCTTTGTTAAGTTGCTGAGGCTTTCCTTGAATTTGGGATCCTTCTGCCTCAGCTCTTCCATCCCCGAGCTACTGGGATTACAGGTGTGTGCCGTGGTACCTGGCTCCCCATGCTCCTTGGGAGCAGGGATCTGCCACCTGACTGCAGGACTGCAATGAGTTGCCATTCAGTGGAGGTCACGGGCTTAGGTCTTCTAGGTGAGTAGGGTTTGGGGGAAGGTGGTGGGTAGGCAGAAGAGTTAAGCAGAATAGTGGCATGGACATGGCAGGTCATGATAAGACTAGTTCCTAGGGTTCAGGGTAGTACCAGGGAGGGTGGACCATCTCTGTGGAGGGTGGAGCTGTTTTCCAAAGACAGTCCCTTCTGGGGACTGGACCCAGAAACTTGCAGGGTGATGCTCTGCCACTGAGCTAGCCCCTCCCCCATGTGTCATCTTAGGGACAGATGTGTGTGTCAGAAAACAGATGGGCTGGGCTGAGAAAAGAAACCAGCCCATGGCTCTTTGTTGGAACTCACTTCCTGGAACTACTTGGGGTCATTTTGTTTTCCTTACCCAGGAATGGAATAGATTTGGGTTAAAGGAAGAGTCTGGTGGCATTAGAGAGGGATATGGTTTATGCCTGAGAGTGTATAGGTGACTTTATTTCTGACTCCAGTAGGAATGGTGAGTCCTGTTGGATACATGCTCAGACTGCCTGGCTCCTAAACCAGGCTGGCTTCCCAGATCTGCCTGCCCCCAATTCCCCCCAGTCCCTGGGCTCCTACAATGCTGTCTGACACTGCCTGTGACCCTGCTCACCTGCCCCAACTCCAAACTCTTGCTCCAGTGTCTTGCCCAGCTGGAGCCCCCACCCCAACAAGCATCCTGAACATATTCACTCTCAGTGACACCCACCTCTGCAGAATGCAAGGAGCTCCAAGTCTGGGGACTTGACCAAACACTGCTGTGACTACTGTGACATCTTTGTTCTTCAGGGTGTGGTAAGAACCTGAAAGTGGGGGAGTGGGTGGAAATAACACCCTGTGGGTCTTCTGCCCTGGCTCTGCACTGGGTGAAGGAAGCTACCTGTTGTCTTTGGCTGAGGATGATCAAGAGTTTTGAAATCAAACCGTGAGAGGCTCAACTTCTGCCAGCTCCTAAGGTCTTGTGCAAGATGGCTATGCTGGGACCTAGCATTCTGTTCCTCCAAAAACAATGACCAATCAGATTGCCAGTCTTTCCAAAAGAAAGATGTTAAATGAGAAGTGAAATGGCAGGATGAGGTGTATGAGAAGGAGGGCTCTTAGCAAGAAGCAGGGGTGCACACCTATGGTCCCAGCGCTTGGTGCCTGAATCAGGGAATTGCTTGAGCCCAGAGTTCAGAGCCAGGCTGGCCAGGCTGGCCCCCATCTAAGAACTAATCAGAGAAGATGGGTTCTTCATCAAGTTTGACTGCCCTGGAGAAGCAGAAGCCAGTGATTCAGGGGAGAGTCACATGGGCACTCATGGGGATTTCCAGTATGAAAATACCTCCCTGACCTTGACTCATGAACAGGCAGTGTTGGGGGAGGCCAGAAGTGCAGGGTCCACTGAGATTGGAGAGATGCTGGTGAGACTGCAGTGCTAATTTGGGGCACTGTCCCCCAGAAGTGTGTGCCTGTTGGCTAGCTGTCTTCCCATGGGTAAAGGTGGCTAGCTACCCAAGGCCTCTACAGAACTGAAATCACCATACATGAGGTTCAGAGGGCCTTAGTCCTCCAGCGTTCCTCCAGGGTTCTTCCAGGCCTAGGCATGGGCCTTCTCTAATCTGCTTTTGCACTTTTAAAATGGGAAGGCGTGATGGTGCACACCTGTAATCCCAGTGATTCTGGAGGCTGAGGCAGGAGGATTTCAAGTTCAAGGCCAGTCTCACCAACTTAGGGAAGCCTGACTTAAAATAAAACAAAAGATCTGGATGTAGCTCTGTAGTATACCATCCCCAGTACCACCCCCACTCCCATTTCATCCCCCCACAAAAAAAAATAAAGAAAAATGAATAGGGAAAAAATGTCTAGATGGGGCTGGGGATGTGGCTCAAGCGGTAGCGCGCTCGCCTGGCATACGTGCGGCCCGGGTTCGATCCTCAGCACCACATACAAACAAAGATGTTGTGTCCGCCGAGAACTAAAAAATAAATATTAAAAATTCTCTCTCTCTCTTTAAAAAATAAAATAAAATAAAAACAAATAAAGAATGCTAAAAGATGGAATCATCTTTCTAAAAAAAAATGTCTAGATGAATTTACATTATGGCATTCACTCTTGGGGACTTGTCCAAAATAAACAAAATTGTGTCCACTCAGGGTTGGGGTGAGGCTTGGTGGCAGAGTGCTTGCCTGCCATACATAAGGTCAATCCTCAGTACCACGAAACAAAAGAAGTCCAAAGATCTGTAGGAGAATGCACATAGCAGCTTTACTCATAGTACCTAAAAGCTGGAAACAACCCACATGCCCATCGGCTGGGGAATGATGGACAAAATGTGGTCCATTCACACTATGGGGTGGCACTCAGCCACCATGTGCTGTGTGAGTCCACCTCGGAGGTGACCAGGACAGGCAAATCCATGCAGAAGAGGGTCACCAGTGCTGGGGCAGGTGTGGTCACTACAGAGGCAGTGCTGAGCAGCAACTGAAATACTCAAAAACTACATCATGTGGATGGTTGCACAGGTCAGTATTCTTGCTAAAAGTCTTTGAAGTATACACTTAAATTGGTGCACTGTATAATGTGAAAATGATACTTCGTGAAGCTGATGAAGCAGCACAGCTGGTCTATCCTCGATGTCATCAGCCACCAAGCATGAGAGAACAGGACTGACCAGTTGGCCTCAAAGGCCCCCAGTGTGCCTGGGGAGGGACTGTGGTCTTGAGGGCCAGGAAGCACACCCTGAAGCCTTTCCACAGGGATGCGGGAACAGCTCTCACCCATAGGAACCTTTCCCAAGTGCCCTGAGAGGTGGCAGTGACATGGCAGACGCTGTCTTTGCTGTCTTGAGGAAGGGGAACCCCCAGAAACAAGACTTCTGTTGGCCTTTCATCACTTCAAGGCCACTCAGGGTGACCTGAGGCTTTGAAGGCGTAGCACAAAATAACACCACAGCCTGGGAAGAGGCAGCTCTGGTCTCCAGCAATTCCACCCACCCCACCCCATGCATGAATGCCCTGGACAGCACACGGGGGCCCTGTGGAATGGGTGGAGGCTTGCTCCTCCTGCTAACCCAGAACATGACCACAGCCCCAGTAGGGTGAGGCCTTATGGACAAAGCTCCAGGCAGGTGCAGTTGGCCCTCTGCACAAACTTGCCTACCCATGAGGCATTGGCCAGTGTCAGGATGGCACCAGTAGGGAGCTCCTTCCCGATGGCAAGGTTCGCAACCTCTCCAGGGACCAGTGCCCGGTCCCAGATGGCCAAGCCAGACATGCTCCCCACAAAGGCCTCAGATCTGTCAAACCCTCCACCAACACTGTCTTGCTCCTGGCCCAGCACAAGGGACCCTCCAGGAGGGATCTCATAGCCCTCCCTAAAGTGGGAGCCAGTGGCCACTAGCCTGCGGTCCACATGGAGCCAGTACTTGCCCTGGACAGATGTCCAGATGATACAAATGTGGTGCCACTGGCCATCTAGCAGCAGCTGCAGAGGCAGCTCCCTGAAGGCTGGGTCTCCGATAACAAAATGGAGGGACCCGGGGACCAGTGAGTCTCGGCCATGCAGTACCACCTTGTTGTCATTCTCTTCAGTGGCGTAGGAGAGGAGGGTGCCCAGGTGGCCAGAGGATGTGCGGACCCAGCTGCAGAAGGACAGAGCTCGTAGGGCTGTGAGGAAGCTGGGGCTGAGGAAGATCACGTTCTCAGGGGAGGCATCCGGGAATGTGAACACGGGACCCAGGTTGCAAACTAGAAACAGAGGGAGGGGGAGTCAGCCCTGCAGCAGGAGCCCCAGAAATGGTCCTCACTCTGGAGGGTGGACTTGGGGGCCCTGCAGCCACACCTCCTGGAGGACAGCTTGAGCTGGGAAGGCTGAGGGCTCCTCTAGTTCCTCTTGCTTGCCCTCAGGATGTGCCACCCCCAGGCAGGAGCTAAGAATGAGGTTAGCCTTCCCAGGGAGCCTTCAGTCCCTAGTTAAGCCTGAGCTGTCTCCTAAGAAGGGGAGCTGATGACCATTAGCACCAGGGCACCTCTGGCTGCTGTAACAAATTGCTACAAATTTAGTGTCTTTAAACAGCCTAGGCTTACTATTTTGTGTTTTTGGAGGCTGGAAGCCTGAATTCAAGTCATACAGAACCCAAATCAAGGTGTTTCAGGACCAGCTCCTTCTGGAGGCTCCAGAGAGACATAATTTCCTGCCCTTCCCAGCTACTGGAGGCACTAGCCATCCTTCCTGTCTTCAGAGTGTATCCCACCAACCTGTCTCTGTCCTCATGACCCCTTCTCTGACCCTCTCATCCCCCCTCTCTGAGCCCTGTGTTTACACAGGGCCATCCAGTAATTCAGGACCTAACCAGCTCTGCAAGAGGTGCTTCTTCAACGTGAGGAACAGGGGGCCCAAACTGCTGGGACCCGCAGATAGGAGACCACCTGGATGAAGAGCAGGGAGTGTGGAGTGTGAAGTCAATGTCCTCTCCTCATGGGGAGAAAGCCCGTGGAGGTGGGAGGGGCACCACGGGTTCAGGAGGAGCTATAGGAATCTTGTAAGCCATGGGGAGGGGGCCAGGCCTGTGGCACTTACCTTCTCCTGGTCCCTGAGGAGGATCCCTTGGGACTGTAGCAGCCCCACCAGGTACCCAATGGCTGCTTGGGGCTGGGGGCTTCTGTGTGCCCAGGAGATGGGCAGTGAAGTCCTGGGACTCCGTTGGGTGAGGAGCAAGGTCCTGCCTGTCTGTCAGCAGCATCAGTGGGCCCGGGTACACAGGCTGATCTGGAGTTAGGGCTGGGGTCCACCCTGGGGCTGCAGTGCCAGGGCTGGTCATCTGTAGTTGACCCTCAAGAGCAGCCAGCCTGGCACCCTGGCTGTGGACCTGGTGTGTCAGGCTGACCAGTGCATCCTGCAGGGCCTGTGTGCCCAGGGCCAGGCCTGAAATGACATCCCTCTGTGTCTTCTGCTCCTTCCCTGCCTGTACCCACTGCCTGGTTTTCTCAGTCAGGGCCAAGTCTAAGGCCTGCAGTCGCATGTCCACCTTCCGGCTTCGGTGCTGAGTCTTCCTCACCCAGGCCTTCAGGTGGGCCAGGTCCCCCTGGATGGCGACCTGTGACCTGTTGACTGTCAGAGCCACAGCCTGGCTCTCCTCTGCCAGGCTGTGTAACTGGGCATCAATGTCATAGGACATGTTGTAGTTGTTGGCAATGCCCTGCAGCTGTGTTAAGGTCACTTCTTGGAACCTCCGAAACTGTAAAGAGGACACAGCAGTTATGAGGGGTCAGGATGGGCAGGGATAAGGCCTTCCTTCTCACACCTCAGAAGAACCTCTGTGTGCTGGGCTCGTGGTCAGCGCTGCATAGTGACCCTTGACATGACACTAGGAGATGCAGGTAGGGGGCCAAGTTCAGGGGGGCGATGGAGCTCAGACCCCACTGCAGCATTGGGGAGCATGGGTTCACCTTGCAGTGTCTGATCCTGCCCCACATCCCAGGTTCTAAATGGCCACTGCCAGTTGCTTCAGTTGCAGGCAGGCTCGGCTGGGCTGCATGTGTGCTTGACTGGGCTCAAAGCAGAAACTTGTGGTGCTGGGGCACTGTCTACAGACCCCACACAGGAATCTGGGGGCCACCCATGCCTTCTGCTTTGAGATAGACTAGGGACCTCATGGCTCCCACATCCAGTGTTTGTGCCTAGCACCATCAATTCCCTAGACCCCATAGCTGTGCTCCTTAGGCCTTCCAGAGCCTCCATACAGTCTCTTGTCCCCTGCCAACCACACATCACTCCGCTTATTTTCAGAGTAGAGCCAGGCAAACCCTCCCTGGTTTTCAGTTGTAGGGTAGGGCACTGCTAACTGCTAGCAAGAACCACAAACTACTTGGATGCTTGGCTCACAGTTCACACCTGCCGCTACAATTGTTCAACATCCAACCTTCATTTGTTGCCAATTTTAAAAATCCAAGAGCGGTACACCTACCTGCTCTTCTAGTCTACGCAGCCTCTCGAAAAATGGTTTTCTTTGCCCTGCTGATCCAGCTTTCTGCAGTGAAGCCCCATGTAGATACATGGACACCAAAACCAGGAGGAGAGACAGGGTCATCCTCCCTGGCCAACCCATGCTGAGAGAAGAGGGGGCTCCAGCAATCTCTTCAGGATACAGGAGGTGGCCTCGGCCCCAGTGTCTGCCTCGTCCCCAGTGTCTGCCTCGTTCCCCACTCCTCCTGGCTCTCCAGTTGAGCGGTTTTCCTTCCGTGGCCCTGGCTGGGGGTCAGGCACTTCCTGCCATCTTAGGGAAAGGCATCTGCCTTCAAGCCTACTGGCTCTGTTGGTCCCAGGTTCCCAGGGAAACAAGCTTAAAACAGACGCAAACAGCTTTTCTGGAAAGCTACTCTGCTGGGGCAAGGACTTGTCCTGTGAGCTCAGAGGTGGGCGAGCACTGATGGCTTTAGCAGAAGCACATGGACTCATGTTACCACCAAGAAGTTGTCGAAGGACAGGGAACCCAGCAGGGGCCTGGAAGTCACTGGAGTCAGGTCTGTGTTGGTGCCAGCATCCCAGCCATGCCCAGCCACATCCTGTGAGGCTTTCTCTCCCTTGGAAAGGGAACTGAAATGTGATTGGCCATCACCTTATTTTTTCCTCAGGACTGGGTGATTTTAATTTTTATGTATTTATTGTGTGTTTTTTCTTTTATGGTGCAGGGATTTGAACTTACGGGCACTCTACCACTGAGCTTCATCATCAGCTCTTTTCTTATTTTGAGACATGGTCTTGCCAAGTTGCCCAGGTCGTCCTACCTCAGCCTCCCAAGTTGTTGGGATTATGGGAGAGCACGATGGTGCCCAGCTTGATTATTTTTTATTTTGTCCTTAGGGTCTCACTTTGCTGCCAAGGCTGGTTAAAGCAATGCTCCTGTCTCAGCCTTCCAAGTTGTTTCTTCTTCTTCTTCCTCTTCTTCTTCTTGGTACCAGGAATTGAACCAGGGATGCTTAACCAGAGTCACGCCCTCAGTCACACCCTACATATTTTGAGACAGGGTCTGGCTGAGTTGCTTAGGGCCTTGCTAAATTGTGGAGGCTGACTTTGAACTTGCAAGACCCTTTCTCAAGATAAAAAACATAAAGGGCTGGGGATGTGGCTCAGTGGTTAAGTGCCCCCGCATTTAACCCCTGCCCAAGAAGGATGCTTTTATGTTTGTGGAATGAATATATGTTCCCAGATTTCCCCCCACATTCACCTCTGCTGAAATGTCACCCCTTCCCAAAGGGGAAGCCTACCTACTCTCCCGGGAGGTCATTAGAACATTCTAGTTTTTTATTTTCCATCCTGGGGACAAACCCAGGACTTCATGCACTACCAGCAAGGGTTCTACTACTGTATTACCACTTTGCCTCAAGGGGGTGCTCTGATAAACCCAGCCTAATTCCCTCTTAAGATTGGGAGCCGTCTCCTCACAAGGCATGAAAAGTTAATTTCGGCTTTACTATATATTACTGGGATTTCTAAACTTGCTTGGAATGCCTGCCGGTGCCTTGAACTCACCCATGCCTGACTTTCCCTGGCCAGATAACGACCCTCTCTGAAACTAGTGGTGCCTCATAAATTCTGATGTTGGGATCTAAATTTACTCCCTAAGTGCTGGACCATTAACCTGCCTTTGTGTTATGCTTGTTAAAATCCTGTTATCTGTAAGTTCTCAAGACCCCCCCCCCCACACACGCACTTTTTGCACTTTCTGAGCTATAAAGGTGCCCTCCTAGAGAGCTGCGGGGCTGTCTTCTGTCCCCACTGGTTTCGGGAGAGACAGCCTCAGCCGGTAGGAATTACAAGCTTGCTTCATTCTGATTTAAATTGGAGTTGGTGGTCTTTTCTTTGAGTAGTGGTTAATAGTTCCACGCCAGGAGGTTGGCCACCGGCCCTAGGACCTAGGGAGCCCTCGACACGTGGCTAGAGCAACTGTGGAACGGAACCTGATGCTTCACCTCTTTAGTTTACACAGCACCTTCGCAGCGGCTACCAGATCCCATCACCCGCCTCTGCTGCGTGCAGCCGGCACTCCAAGCGTTTGAACTCAAGCGCGGTGGGGAGCACAGCCGGTGGGGAGCGCAGGCGCAGYCCACAGTCACGTGGCCACGGGTCCCCGCCCCATCTGGAGCACACCCGCCTCCCTCGATCCGACCTGCCCTGCCGCGCAGACGCACAAGCGCGGTGCCGCCTGCTTTTGCAGATTCGCGGAACCCAGCGGGGAGCGGCGGGGGCTTTGAAGGCCGAAGTCACGCCTCACGCGGGGACCGGAGCTCGCGGCCCCCCGCCGGTTGAGGCCTGGCCAGGCCGGGTAGCCGGTGCGCTCAGGGAGGGATCCCGCTGTCCCGGGCGCCCGGCTGCCGGCAGCATGGAGCCCGCGCGCTCTGCAGTCGGACTCAGCGTCCGGGAAGCGGTGCACATCCTCCAGTCTTCTGAGGACGGTGGCCGCGTCCTCTCCGCCCTGGAGTCCCTGCAGCGCTATCTGCGAGGAACCGCGGAGCCCGCGCTGCCCGGAGAGCAGGAGGAGTTCGCCGCCAAGCACTTCGCTGCCGTGCTGCGCTGTCTGGTCGGCAGGCTGAGCCCCCGCTGGCTGCAGCTGTCGCCCGGCGACCGGCTGGAGCAGCTCTGGGACAGCTTCTTCCTGGAGGGCCCTGCTGACCAGGCCTTCCTAGTGCTGATGGAGGCCATCGAGGGCACTGCCGGGTGAGTGAGGCTGGGGGCTTGTGCAGCGGCCTGTGGCTTGGAAGACCAGAAGGGCCTGGGGAATTGCGAACTGCAGGGTTCATCCTGGAAGGTGCCAGGGAGAGAACAGAGCCTGCGACCTGCTGAAACCGCCCCCCCCCCCCAACTGATAGTGGCTGTGTTCTCTAAGATGGGGAGGACCTGCCGGCATCTCGACCTTGCAGGACGGCGGGAGGAGGGGTGTTTACATCACAGCAGGCCCCAGCCAGCTCCCCTAGGCAGCATTGCTGCTTCGTGGTCCCAGTCCAGCAGTGAGGCTTTCTGGGCACAGTGGCAGCTCTTAAGGCCTCTTGGGACATTTTCAGGTTTTACAGGGAAGCACAGCTTTTTTGACACGTGCCTGCCATTGACCCCCCAGCCCCAGGCAGTTCCCACGTTCAGCATCAGATCACACACAGATCAGTCCTTGTGAGGACTCTGAGGAGTCTTTGAGAAGCTGGGTTTTTAGAAGTTGCTGTGATTAAAAGCATGTACTCTGTGAAAATCCAGGCAGAGCAAGGGAGGAGGTGGTAGGGCCCAGCTGCACTCACCCCACTTGTATCTGATTCAGGAGTGGAGTACAAAGCGTGTTCTTTCAGCTTATGAGTTAAGACAAAATGTTACTGGAGCTGTTGGGACTACCTGTCTAAGGGGGAGCTGTGGAGACTCCCTTGGCCCGCAGCAGGCTTAGGGGCTCTGCCCGATACACCTGTCCTTGTTCAGCCCCAGCTTCCGTCTGATGAAGATGGCACAGCTGCTGGCCAGGTTTCTGAGTGAGGGCAGGGTAGCGGCCCTGATGGAGGAGCAGTGCCGGCCGCAGATGAAGCCTGGCTTTCCCCTGCTCCAGGAGACACTACTCAGCAAGGTGGTGAGCCTGCCTGACCACCTGGGCAACCATCTGCAGCAGGATAACCTGGCCCAGTTCTTCCCCCAGAACTACTTCCCACTGCTGGGTGAGGAGGCCGTGCAGGTGCTGCAGTCAGTGGTGGATTCTCTCCGAGGTGAGTGCTGTGTCTCCCTGCCCCTCTTCTTAGCTGTCATCCCCTCCTTCTCCATCCACTTCCCCTGCCAACTTGGGTTTGTCTCATATGCCTTTGGCGATGGCATTTCAGGCTCCCATGGCAAGGTGAAGGTGCTGGGAGGTCTTTGGGTCTGGAGGCAAGTGCTGCTGGTGGACTTGCTCACAGAGCACTAGGTATTATCCTGTGTGCTGTTTGGGGCTGGCTCTGCCTCTTCTGGGCCTCACAAGCATGGCTTCCAGTTTCAAGAGAAAGGAGTGTCTGGGGCAGTGTGATTCCATGGGTCAGTGGCCTGTAAGGCAAGGCCAGTGGGTGGATTTGCCTCTTCCTGCAGTATGGCCCCTCCCTTCTTATTTCCATCATGGGCTCACTCAGGCCTGAGCTGCACCTCAGCTCAGCTTGTTTAACTCTGATTGCTTAACTCAATCTCCTTGTGGTGATGAGTTCCCACTGTGGTTCACTGTCCTTCCATGTGCTCAGGCCCAACACCCTAAGTCCCCTGTGACCTACACCCCTGTGGGACTCAGAGCCCAGGAGGAATCTGGCACCCTCAAGTCTCTGCAGGTCTGTCCACTTGGTCAGGTGTTGTGTGTGTTGTCCCAGGACCTCCTTGCTTTCTCTCCCAGGTGGCCTACACTGTTCTGTCTCCTTTGTGTCTCGAGTCCTTGGGAAGGTGTGCATCCAGGGGAGACACAGTGAGTAGGGCCTGCCTTGGGGGAAGCAGCACCTGTCTCTCCCATTCAGCCCTTGGGAGAGGTTGAGAATCACTGCAAGCCCCTCAGCAGCAGTGGGAGCTGGTCCCAGCCTTCTTTGGGGTCTCTATGCTAGCTCTGGGTCCACAGAGGTTTGTCTTAGGGCTTAGTTGTGCTGTGGGGGGTTCCCTTGCTAGCCCTAGGTCCACTGAGGTTGGCTCTGGGGCTCAGTTGTGTTCTGGGGGGTCCCCTTGCTAGCCCTAGGTCCACTGAGATTGGCTCTGGGGCTCAGTTGTGCTCTGGGGGGGGGGTCCCCTTGCTAACCCTGGCTCCACTGAGATTGGCTCTGGGGCTCAGTTGTGCTCTGGGGGGGGGTCCCCTTGCTAACCCTGGGTCCACTGAGGTTGGCTCTGGGGCTCAGTTGTGCTCTGGGGGGTCCCCTTGCTAGCCCTGGGTCCACTGAGGGCTCAGAGCTCTGGGGCTCAGTTGTGCTGGCTGGTGAGCCGTGATGCTGTGTACACTGGACCAGTGGTCCCCTGGCTGAGTGCAGCTCCTGAGGCTCATGTCCTCTCTGTGTCTCCTCAGAGGAGATCTTGGGCAGGTTGGTGCCCCAACTGACAGCACTCACCCAGGGCAGCTGCTTGTGGCAGCGGGTCTGCTGGCGCCTAGTGGAGCAAGTGCCGGACGGGGCCATGGAGGCTGTGCTCACAGGGTTGGTGGAGGCCACTCCGGGGTAAGCAGCACAGCACTCTTTCCAGTCAGTGCATCTCTGGGGGTGGGGGGTGGGGAGTGGGCTTTGTGGCAGCTGCCATTCCCTGTGCTGCTTTTCCTGGTGGCCCTGCTGTAGCCGGTTGTCCTGTTGTACTCCCTGGGTTCGGTGGCTGGTGCTGCCTTAGTATTGCTGATTTAGGCTGGCCACTGGTTGTGCAAATGCACACACTGATGGTGCCCACCTTCATCATTGCCAGCGGAGGCTCCACATGTGTCCACGGCTTAATACAGAAGGTCTCCTGCCCGGCGGGTTCCCCAAGTCCACACGCTGGGGGAACCATAATCTCTGCTGAGGCAGCAGCTCTTTTCAGACTTAGGGATCCTGTTTCTTTCTCGTGAAAACAGTGTAGGTGTTCTCCCAAGCCCTATTGGACAGGAGGACTGTGTGAGAAGCAGCCCGCAGATGTTTCGTCACCCTGCATACTGTGTGTGTTATCCTTCTGTCATGGTGTTGCCCTGCACTGTAGCTCACTCCTCCTGCCTCACCCCTGACTCACCATTCCTTGCATGTGGTTTTGTGCTCTGGGTGTCGTCTCTGACTTGGGTGTGGCGATGCCCTTTTGCTCCTTCCTCTCGTGTGTGTGTGTGTGTGTGTGTGTGTGTGTGGTATGTGTGTGTGTGTTGCAGCTGGCACTCTTGAAAGCAGCCTTGTTGGGCCCAAGGGATGCTCACGCACCTTGCCCTCACCTGCTTCCCAGGTCTGCCCCAGGGCTGTGGTGGTTGGGCAGGGGAGAGCAGGCTTTGTGGTCTTTGATTCCAGATGTGTGTGGACTCCTTCCCTGCGTCCTTCACCATCTGCATGTTTGGTTCCTGGTATATGTTGTGGAAGTTCCCCTGCAGGTTCTGGGCTCTTTCCTGTGAGCAGTTGGGCTTAGGATGGTGAAGATGCATTGCTGCTGTCACGGATGGTTCAGTGGGGGTCTTGCTCGGTCTTTGGAACCTTCTCTGGTATCTGGCTTGTCTCCAGCTTAACCTTTTTTTTTGTTTGTTTGTTTTTATTGTACCTCCCTCCTCTTTTTCTTTCCAGATTTTATGTCTATGTGTGGAATTTTATGTGATGAGTGAGGGTGAAATCCAGCCTGTCTCTCCACACTGGCTGGGGGCTTGTTGGGCTTTTGCTTGCTGAAGGAAGCAGGGTCCCATACTCTAGATCTGATGCTTGCACACTATTGTTCTTGGGCCATATCTGGCTCATTTGGTGTTTTTTGTAAATAAAATTTTATTGGCGCCCACCGTGGTGCTGTGTGCCTGTAATCCCAGCTATTTGGAAGGCTGAGGCAGGAGGATCTTTTTCTCTTGCATRCGCACTCACACAATTTTATTGGCATGCAGTCATACTAACTCATTTAAATATTTGCCTGTGGCTGCTTTCAGTCACAACTGCCATGTTGAGTGTTTGGTATAGAGACTGGCCTATGAATCTTAAAGCATGTGCCCTCTGGCCCTGTGCAGCAAAGGCTTGCTGCCCTGCTCTAGATGAAGTATGCACCCTGGACCTGGCAGAGCAGGGAGGGACTCCCTCCTATGTTGACCCTCTTAGCTCAGGAGTGGGACCCAGTCTCTACATTCAGGCCTGGGGGAGGGAAGTTAAGGACCCATTGAGGTTATCCAAGGCCCACAGTGAGCAAGTGGCAGGGCCAGGCTGTTGGTGCCATCAGAGGGTGTGCTTTCCCAGCCTGCCACCCACCTCCTAGGCACTCATGACTGGCTTCTTCTGACCCTGYCTTATAGGCCTGAGGTCCTGTCACGACTCCTGGGGAATCTGGTGGTGAAGAATAAGAAAGCCCAGTTTGTGATGACCCAGAAGCTTCTGTTCATGCAGTACCGGTACACGGTGAGAATGTAGGGCAGGGCTTGTGAAGGCCACCCTTGGTTACAAGAAGAATCACTATTAAAAGTAGAGGCTAACTCAGTGGAAGAATGTGTACCCAGCATGCACAAAGCCCTGGATTTGATTCCCAGCCACAGAAAACAGGTAGAGCAGTCACCTGGGAATTGTCAGTGAAGCAGCAGCACTGCCCTGCCTGGCTGCAGGCCCTGCTGCACAACACCGAGCAAGCCCAAGGGGGTTAGTGCCTTGGGACTTGGTTGCTGAGTGCTTCCCAGACACGGTGCAGCTATCCCTGTGGCCTGGAGTGTAGGCTGTGACTGGAGGGCTGTGGTGGTTGGGCAGGGGAGAGCAAGAGCAGATGTCTTGGCCTGAGGAGGGACCAGCAGTGCATTGATGCCCACAGTGTGCCCAGCTCTGTCCCAGGTGGACAGAAGAGCCGTAGTCTCTCCTTGAGGAACTCACGTTATAGACAGGGAGACTGTGCTACCTGCATAAACCATGGTATGTAATTCATAGCATGGCACATTTGGTACTGTGGGACCTAGGAGGCAGCCTCAGTGCTGCAGGGCTCTGCAAAGACCTCTCTGAGGGGATCTGGCAGGTGCAGAGCCATGATCCTGATAGAGGTCTGGCCAGGAGGACTGTGTGGCTGGCTTCTGAACACTGGTCCCAGCAAGCCGGCTGGCAGTGGGCCCTGTGCCCCAGAGAGCAGGAGGTGTGGCAAGGGTGGGCTGCTTCAGGTTGGGGTGGGCAGCTGAGGTTTAAGCAGAGGCATCCAGACCTGACTGTGTTACCCAGACCTACCCTGGCCTCTGTGCAGAGGATGGGTGGGGGCCAAAGTGGAGGTAGAGCCAACTCGCCCTGGGTGCATGGGGGTGAAGTAGGCAGGAGTCCTTCAGAGCTCTAAAGATGACGCAGGTTCAGCAGCCTGGATCAGGAGGCCTGGCAGCCTCTTGAACCCTGGCTTCATGCCCTTGGTGGGGTTCAGAGAGGCAGGCGGACAGTGCAGTCCAGGCAAACAGAGAGCCAGAGATGGCCCCCAATCCCTGTCCTATAGGGCATTTGAGGCCCCCAGAATATAGCCAACCAATGGGATAAACCCAAGTACTGGCTTGAACATCTGGCCGTCATTCTGGGTGATGGGGCTGCTGGACCAGAAGTGAGTAGCAATAGAGAATAACGGTGCTACAGCATAGTGCTAGATAAAGTGACCCAAGCCCCACACAACAAACATGATGGCACCACCAGCTGCCGTGATGCATGCCTATGAGCCCAGCTACTTGGGAAACTGAGGCAGGAGAATCACAAGTTTAAAGCCAGCCTGGCTGACTTAGTGAGGCCCTGTCTCAAAATAAAAAGTAAAAGGACTAGGGATGTAGCTCAGCAAGAGAGCTTTCAAAAGGGAAGAAAACAAAGAACAAAGAGAAAGCTGAACAGCAGAGCAGGCAGTGCTGAGGTGGAAGTTGCACCTGGGCTGAGCAGAAAAATCCAGGACTTTTGAAATGTAGCAGCTTGATGGCGACTGGTTTTCAAACATGGATGAGATAGAAAATTTCCTTAGAAAAGTGTATGTGCCCAAGCTGATGAGTGCTGTGCTGGGGTATGGCCCAGCAGGAGAGCACTTTCCTAGAGTGCTTGAAGCCCTGGGTTTGATTTCCAGCACTGAGGAAAAAACAAAAACAAAACTGACAAATGCAGAAGCAGAGGGTACTGAGGAGCAGTAGGAGGTGGAGGGCGGCACTTACCATACTAGTCCTCAGCCTGGACTCCTGGGCATGACACGCTCACCCTCAGGAGCCTCATGCAGGAAGGCAGCCTCTGCCTCATTAAGGACACCACTCTCGTTGTAGACACCCATGCTGCAGAGCCTGCTGGGGTACCTGGCTATGGACAGCCAGCGGCGTCCACTCCTCATACAGGTAAGTGCTACCTGCCTCTGACCCTGTGGTGACCCCAAGAGAAGGGAAGGCTGGGGGTCCCAACTTTGCTCCTGTTGGAGCCTTGGGGTGGCTGTGGACACTAGCACCACATGATCCTGGGCCATGGCAGAACTGCTGCCTGACAGGCTGGTGCTGTGCTGCCTGCAGGCGCTAAAGGAGCTGCTGGAGACCTGGGGCAGCAGCAGTGCTGTCCGACACACGCCCCTGGCTCAGCAGCGCTACATCAGCATGGCGGTGCTCATCTGCCTGGCACACCTTGGGGAGCCAGAGCTGCGGGACAGCCGGGAAGGTGAGCAGGTGGTGAGGGCACACCCCCGCCCCAGGCATGTGAGAACCCCTCAGGATGCATGTTTGGTGCTTCCAGAGTTGCTGGCCAGCATGATGGCAGGTGTGAAGTGCCGCCTGGACAGCAGCCTGCCTGCCGTGCGCCGCCTAGGCATGATCGTGGCCGAGGTCATCAGCACCCGGATCCACCCTGAGGGGCCTCCATTGAGATTCCAGGTGAACAGGCTCCGGATCTCCCTGATACTCCAGCTCAGTAGGTACCTCCCCTCCTGGGGCCCAGGCCCATGGAGTGTCCCACATTGGCTACACTGAGGGCTGAGGCCTAGGAGTGGTGGGTGTCAACCTCAGCTCCTGGTGATCACAAAGATTAGGGCTGAACGCACCAGCACATGTTCCTCAGGACACAATCCCTGGAGGTGGAACTCCAGAGAGGTTGGGGTGAGGGAAGCTGTTGCCCTGGGGCTGGTCTGCCACAGGCTGCTCTGGGCAGGCAGAACAGTGACTGGCCTCTCTGCTGCCTGCTTCCTGGTGTGAATGCCACTTGTGTGGCCAGCATGTTTCTCTGACTGCTGGGCCCTGCCCGGCCTTATGGCAGACATCCCCTCCTCCCTGGGACATCTTCAGGGGATCAGCCTCCTGGGGAGCCCTAGTTCCTTCATGAGGAAGTGACTCTATAGCCTTGGCACACTGAGTACCACCCTCAGGTCAGGGTGCACACTTGGAATTTGCTCTAGAAAAGGACAGGCTACTAAACAGGATCCAGATGTTTTTAGAGGAGGCCTGGCTCCAACTGTGTCTGACTGCAGTGAAGTGGTGTCTGAAGCCTGGTGGGTGTCAATGACTGGTATGTTTTATATTTACAGTATGAAGATGATGAGCTGAGCCGTGAGATGCTGGCCTTGGCCACTCCCCGGCCTGTGGGAGACAGCCCCTTGGAGGCAAGGTGAGGGTCTTCACATCCCTCATCCCCACCCTGTGTGTGTGCACACCTTGTCATTCTGGATTCCATTCACAGGACAGGAGTTAGGGAAGCAGTGGGTGGAGGTGCTGGGAGTGTCCCCACAGGCAATCCTGAATGCTTGTTCCTCTTGCTTCCCAGAGGCTCATCACTGGATCCGGTTGTGGCAGAGACCCCTGCAGAGACCATGGAGGGTAGTGTGCCCCCAGCTCAGCTGCAGGGCTCTGACTCGGAGCTGGACAGGTAGGGCTGGGCTTCTGTGCTTGAGGGGTGGCACTGGCTGCACAGCAGAGCCGAGCTGTGCGGGTCACCAGCACAGTGGGGTGCACGCTGTGGGGTGGCTGTGCCCACCCCCAATGCCTCCTTCTGGTCTGCAGCAGTGCTGTGGCTTTTCAAGGCTCTGGGGACTTGGGGAGTGAGTTTCAGCATTTTCAGGACTTGCCCTTGAGGAGGGGTACATAAGTGGCACCGGAGTCTGAGTTTTCTCACTAAGAGTGGGCAGTTCCATTTGTCTCATTTACAGTGACGATGATTTCATCCCCTACGACATGTCAGGGGACAAAGAGCTGAAGAGTAGCAAGGCACCTCAGTATGTGCGAGACTGCATGGAAGGTGAGCCTTGGTGGGGTCACACTGCAGGTCTCACCTCACAGCTATTTCCTCTGAGGTCTTCCCACCCTGCCCCGACACGCTGGGTCCATCAGGGTTGTTCAGGGTTGGGGCTGAGATGACTGAGGCCTTCTGTGTTCTGTGTAGCACTGACCACATTTGAGGATAAGGATATGGAGCGCTGGGAGGCTGCCCTGAAGGCCCTGGAAGGCCTAGTCCGCAGGAACCCTGAGGCCACACGGGAGGTGAGCAAGAAGAGGGTGTTAGAGCAAAGGGGGAGGTTGCTAAGTACTCTGGTGGCAGGTCCCCTACGATGGCAGCTCTTCTTGTGCCATTTGCATCCTGGGTCATGGAGAGTGGGGACATCTTGCTGGCTGCTGCGCATCTCCAGGAGACCTGGAGCCTCTGCTAGGTGGGCAGCAGGTGGGTGGCCCAGGCTCTGAGGTGCATGTAACATACTGACTGCAGCCCTCATGTAGGTGAGTGTGGAGCTGGCCAGGGTACTGTTACACCTGGAGGAGAGGACCTGTGTGGCGGGATTTGAGGAACTGCGCCAGAGAGCCCTGGTGGCTGTTACAGTCACAGACCCAGCCCAGGTAAGTCCCAGTGTGGGTGGCCCCATAGTGGGAAGCACTCTGACAGCTCTCTTTACTAGGTTGGGTGTGGTGTCTAGAGGGTGTGCCCTGTGGCCTGGTCCTCAGTGGCCTCTCTGCCTGGCTCAGGCAGTTGAGTAACTGACCTCGTGCAGGGTTGACTGGTGCCTGGAAAGTGTGTCTATGGCCTGGGCCTGGCCCTCATTGGCCTCTCTCTGCATGGCTTAGGTAGCTGAGCACCTGACCTCACAGTTCTATGCCCTGAACTACAGCCTCCGGCAGCGCATGGACATCCTGGATGTGAGTGCCTCTGGATCCCTCTCCCTGTAGTCAGTTCCAAGCTGCCCTACTGTGGGGAGGTGAAAACCTATGTGGACAGTGACCAAAGCCTCCCCAAGTCACTTTGTTGATCTGAGAAGGCCAGGTGACTTCTGTCTCCTGTTTGAGTGTAGCCAAGTATGCAGGTTTACCACTGTGGGGACCAGGCGCTCTGGCAGCTGAGTTCCTTTGTTTTAAATAACAAAATACACCACTTAAATATAAACAAAATGTGGTGTCCCCATGGCTGAGTATCATCCAACTATGAAAAAGAATGAACCAGTGCATGAGACGTGTGGGAGGAGCTTGATGCCTGCTAGGCCCTTGGCGAAGGACCGCCTGTGGCAGGACCACCAGGAATGGTGGCCTCAGAGCAGGGCTGGTCTCCTAGTGCTTAGTGAGGAGCATGGTCTCTTAACATCATAGAATAGCCGAGAGATGACTACACAGGCAGCGTGGGCTGTCACCCTCATCCCGAGACTCTGTTGTGGGTGTTCCGTGTGTGCAGTAGCAGCGAGTCTGCTCTCCTAAGACTGGCTCGCTTGCTGATGCTTTTGGTCATCCTTTAAGGCTGCCTTCTCCAGAGGAGTGGCTCTGTGTGGAGGCCAGGGAGCCTCAGGGAGAGGTGGCGGTTGSATTGGGGTGCCTCACCTTCTTGCCTGCCCTCCCAGCAAGGCGCAGAGACCCACTAGCACTGGAGATGACTTTCTCTGTGGCTTCCAGAACACCTGCCTTGTCAAAAGACTGTGAGGGCTGCTGGGTGCTGTTGCTGGTCTGGGGCTCTGTGGGGCTTGGTTTAAAGACTGTCCTTCCCCAGAGCCACAGCACTCCCCTGGTTGCTCCTCTCCTCTAGGTCCTGACTCTGGCTGCCCAGGAGCTGTCTCGGCCAGGGCGCCTTGGGCGGTCTCCCCAACACAGTTCCGTGGGTCCCGGCACCCAGTGCTCACCAACACTGACTGCCTCTCAGTCTGGCAGTATCATGGTTCCTGACTGGAGGGTGGTGGTAGAAAATCGGATCAGAAGCAAGACCCGGCACTTCTCCAAGGTCAGTTAGGGCTTTGGTCAGGTCCTTATAGGGAAAGGGCACTCTGGGTGGTARGATGAGCAATTACATTCCTCCAGTGTTATCTGTGCCAAGGGGGTGGCAGGAGCCTAGGGCAGGGATGGCACCAACACTGGTGCTCCTTGAAGTGAGTTTATGGTACAGATCAAAGGTAGTCAGACCAGTGTGGATTTAACAYGTGAATGCAAATGCAGAATCCTGAGGGGTTTTCACCCAGGGTTGGCCCTGCATTCCCTGGGATGTCTGGTGATGAGAAACTGTCATGGGGTGGTGGGGGTGGAGGCCAGGAAGCTTACATCCCAGTGCCCAAGGGTTGCTGTACCATGAGGCCTGTCCAGCTCTGAATGAATTGCACACAGGGTTGGGACATGAGGCCAGGCACCTCATGCAGGTTGGGGTGTTGTGCTTGTTTGGCAGGGCTCTCCCTGGCAGGAGCCAGCAGGTAGCCCCAATGAATTCGCCTCCGTGGCTGGCTGTTTCTTTTTCCCCCTCATTCATCATTTTGACAGGTGAGTGGATTTCTGCAGTCTGGACACACTCACTGGCTGGAGAAAGCATCACAGCATGGGGCCTGAGTGGGACTTTGGGCAGGAACATGTTTGGTTGTTCTTAAGTTAATGTGAAGTTTTCTGGAAGCGTCCCTCTGCCATTAAGCTTTGCAGTGTGTCAGTCACTGCTGTGTCCGTCCACTCCTGGTCTCAGGGTTATGGATGGACTGGTAGTACCCTGCATGCTCTCCACTCCGACTGCCACTTGCTCACCTCCTTCTGCCTTGGCCAGCACTGAGCTCCCACCCACCATCAGGTGTGGCCCTCAGGCAAGAGTGGAGAATCTGTGCTTCTTTCTCACTGAGCCCAGCATATGTGCTGGGCCTCTGGGAACACCTTCTCCCTGGTTCTACTGGAGCCTCGTGGGGTTGGGTGGTGACTAGAGCAAGAAGGCTCTGCATAGCCTCTGGACCCAGGCTCTCCCTCAAAATCCCTGGGACTAGACAGCCAGCCTTGAGGTGCCATGGCTCTGCCACTACTGGATTCTATGTTGCAGGCCTCTAGTGACCTTTGACCTTTTGGGAGATGACCAGTTGGTTCTTGGAAGACTGACCCATACTTTGGGGGCCTTGATGTATCTGGCAGTCAACACCACAGTGAGTTGTAAAGTGGGAATTTCAGGTCCTGTCACATCTCGTCCACCGCTGCAGAGTGTGGGCTTCACCCAAGTGTTCACATTGATGGCACAAGTGCTGTGTGGCCCTACGTGTGGGAGGGGGTGATGGCCACGGTCACGGGCCTGGAGCACTGCGTACCTGACATTCTCCCTTTACCATGGCCCTGAGGACAGGCCTGTGTAAAGCTGCACAGGGGCATCAGATGTGTGTCTTTTGGGTGCTGGGTAAGGGGAGTGGCATGCTGAACATGGTACCCATACTTCTGCTGGTTTTCAGGTGGCTGTACGCATGGGTAAGGYCCTGCTGGAATTTGTGTGGGCCCTTCGCTTCCATGTGGACACGTGAGTGGGCTGCGGGCTGCGGGCTGCGGGCATGGAGTCTCTGGCAGCAAGGTGTGGGCTATGTGGTGGGAGGTAGCCTGACCAGGCCCAATGCGCAGTGTTGCGGATTGATCTGCTGGACTCAGGGAAGTGTCCCTGCAGTTCTGGCAGTGCTGTTTAGGGGCTCTGGCCACAGAGTTGCACCTCACCTTCTCTGCCTTCTTGCTTGGTAGCTACGTGCGCCGGGGCTTGCTTTCTGCGGTCTCCTCTGTCCTCCTCAGCGTACCTGCAGAGCGATTACTAGAGGACCTGCCAGATGAGCTGCTGGAAACCAGGTCCTGGCTGGCAGGTGAGTAGCCCTGGCTATAGCGGCCAAGCAGGCAGGACATCTGGGCATGTGAGAAGGCTAGAGCAACCCAGCTCATGAGTGGGCATGTCCCTCCCTRTTGTGCTGAGAAATATGGTTAACCTAGCATGGGGCACAAGGGGGAGAGGACAGTCATGGCTGTGGTTGCTTTGGGGAATCCACTGAGGTTCCTGATAGAAGGCTATGCAGGTAGTGGAAGTGCTGGGAGGCTGCACCCAGACTTAGAGGTGTAGTGTCTGCCGTGCTTTGTCCCTTCCTCCCAGCTCCAGACACTGAACACCCCCCAGGCTCCTGAGCTGGACCCATGGACAGGCCCTCCAGCTGGGATGCTCTGTGATGTCTTTTTCTTTCCATTTGACCCCAATACAGGGTCCAGCTGAGGTTCCCACGTGACTCATAGCTGCCCTGCCTCTTGGGCTTCTGGCCGGGCATCTTCTGTTGCTGTGCTTATCCTGCTGAAGCCATGTGGCTTGTGGAAGGCCCCCCTCATTAGGCCCAAGTTCCACCTGCTTGTTAGGCATCTGGGCCAGGCAGGGTCCCTCTTTACATGCTGCAGGTGCCCCAGGTGGGCAACTCTGGGGAGGATCATTGTAGGAAGACTGCCTTCCCATTGGTGATACGAGGACTTTATTGGTGTCTGTTCCATCCTAGCTGTGGGCTTCTTCCCTGCCTAGCTCCTGCCATGGCACAGTCCTAGTTTGAATGGGCATTGTCCACAGGAAGTGGAACAGATGAATCACTGGGTGCCAGCAAGAGCCAAGAGCAGGCTTGGTGGCTGTGGAGAGGGTCAGCCATCATCTGACCTCTCCCCAGCACCTGGGCTTGGGATGCAGGTCCCAGGACCATGGCTTACCACCAGAGCTTGTGTCTCAGAGAAGCAGAGGGCTTTATCTCCCTTGAAGGGAAGTGAGGGATGCCCAGAGTCCCTGCCTCCTTTGTCCTTGTCTCCCTGTGGCCTTTGGGAAAGTCCCAGGCTTCTATTCAGGACCTGGCCCCTCTCTCTCTGTCAGTCCTGGTGGGGTGGAAGCACCAGCTCTGTCTCCTCACATGCAGTCTGGAAGAACTGCAGGAGCTCAGGGCTCATCTCCTCAGGCTGGTTTTAACCCAGGTTGGTGCTCAGGATAGCTTAGCTATGTGGCCTGGATCCCTCCCTCCCAGTGGAGGTGTCTCCATCACCTGTCCCATGGTAGAGAGCCCTTTGCCAGGTGAGTGAGGTAGGTTGTCGGGAACAGGAATGACTGGCCCTGCAATGTACTTGTGTTGTTTTTACCTGGCAGATGTGGCTGAGAAAGATGTTGATGAGAACTGCAGGGAGCTGGCCGTGAGAGCGCTGCTGCTTCTGGAGCGACTCAGAGACAGACTCCTCTCCCTTCCCTCCTAGTCCCTGATGGACCCTAGGCATTCCTGCTGGGTGGGAGGAAGGCTTCAAAGAGTGGACCCCTGTAACACCTGAGTTTGCAGTTTGACCAGGTCTGGAGGGCCATCTGGTCCCAGTGCGTGCATGTAGGAAGGGTGTGTTCAGCTAAAAATATGGAGGGCCTCGCCCTGGCCCCCACAGGCAGAGCAACTCAAGTGCTGGCCTGCAGCTCCCAGTGGGCCCTGTGGTCAGGGAATGCTAGAAGCAGGAAGGAAGCAGCTGCTCAGAGCCCAGTAGCAGAGCAGGCTTGGCCCTTGGCCCTGTGGCTCAGTGCTATCCCAGGAGAATAAATAGGGCAGGAGGTATCACAAGTCTTCTTTGTGGTTTTCAGTGAGCAGGGACTTCAGTTCCTAGAGGACTATGAGATGCAGCCATGAAAATGGAGTGCAGTGTGAGGCAAAGAGGGGTGGAAGGGGCCTAGGCCTCTGAGAAAGTAGGCTTTATTGGAGTTGTAGGAGTGTCAATATCTGGTGGTAGGTGTGACTGACAGGACTCGGGCCTGGCCACAGTGGTCCCTGCTGAACCATCCTGGAGCCATCTGGGTGTGGGTGTGATTAGCAGTGATGGGCATCTCCAAGACCCAGGTGCAGCCTCAGTGCACCAAGTTCTACAAGTTCCTTCCACTCCACAACTGGTAGTCGGGAGAACCTGGGAAAGCTGAATCCACTGAATCCAGCTCCTTTAAAAGGAATTAAACTAAAACACCACGGAAGCTGCCAAGTGCCCTGAGGCAGGAACGCTGAGGGAAGGCTTAGGGATACAGTCAGTCCTCTGCACACTGTGGGCTGGGCCCTGCTTACTTGTTATGATATGAACAAGTTTTTTTTTCCCCCTACAAAAAAGAGATGAGGACTAGAGACTGGAAATTCCAGAAGCAGATCTCAGCAGCAGGAYAATGGTGAAGGCCCATCAGGGACCATTCTCTACCTCCTCCACCACCTCATCGTGGTCCTCGATGCTGTTGTGACGGATCCGCTCAGGCACCACACGTGTCAGAGGGAGTCCCAGGCCCTGATGCACGGCATCCACTGTCTGCTGGTCCACGTAGTAGGACATGTTGGCAGAAGGAAGTCTCTTGCGCATCTCCTCGAGGTACCTGTAGGCCTAGGGCAGAGGGAACAGCTGTTACTTAAAGGCCCAGTGGACACCTCAGCATATGGCCAAGGGAGCCATCTTGTCTGTTCACTGTAATAAGGTCACCTCAACATGAAGTACCCACTCTGTCCCAGAGGTTGTAAGCAGGGAAGCATGCCTTTTGAGGTTTCTGGTATTTACAAGGGGACATGTGTCCCAGGGCAAGGTATGTTTCGGGCTGTGGCCAGTATGAACAACTGAAAACCAGAACCCCAGAGAGTCCTCTGGCAACCCAGAGCAAGAATGTGGTTCAAGTTCCAGAATTGTATTCCCTCTAAAACTGCTCCCTGGATGGTGGTGGACCTGCTGCGGGAGGGTGGATTCCATTTCCATCTACTGTAGCACATGTACTTGCTGGAATGAAGGGCAGGCATTATTTCAGCTTAGTATAAGATTTATCCCAATTCTATCGCATCTCCTGTGTGAATGGTCCTTGATCCTAGGCCTGTAAACTGGAAATGTCAATGGGTTTCCTGTGTGATTTCATCTGGTCTTGCCAGGGGGACACTCATGATGGAGCTCCAGGGCCAAGGCAGGATGGGCCTTAGCCTCAGAGCAGTATGCTTAAGGTCTCTTCATCCTCAGGGAGGGACACATACAAATGGGGGAGAATATATGGGGCTTTATGCTGCTTCTAGGGCTCACTCCCATGGGGCACATGAATTCAGAATGTGACCAAAATTTTTTTAGCAGCTTTTAAATTGTTAATGAGAAATAACAATTTGACCTTAGTATTTACGGCTTAAAGATGGTGAAATACTTGGAACAATTTTATTTTGGATAGATAAAGCTAGTAAGCACAGAGAAGAATATGAAGATCATGCAAGTAAAGGTAAAATCTGCCTTCTGGAAGGGTCACTGACACTCTCATGCCATCAGCCTATATGTATAGAGACTTGCTAGGGGTGGGAGGCAGCCCAGTGCAATGGAAGAGCTCCTGGGTGTTCACAAACCACCTTACATACATCAGGAGCCATGCTAGGTGTGTGGGACAAGGTGAGTGGGGCGGGAGTAGAGCCTGGCCACAGCAGGACTCAACCAACACAAGAGGAGGGAAGAGTGAGGAGCTGAAAGAGCCTGGAGTAGAGGTTGCACAGCCAGGTCCAGTGGGCGTGCTTATTCAGTTGAAGATTAGACTGTTGGGATGAAAATAATGTCTGAGATGAAAAGTTTAGGTGGGATTAACATTGGTGGACATGACAGAAGGAGAGATGATGAAGCCGGAGCAATAGCAACTTCCCAGAATGAAACACGGAGAATACTCGGGGGTGACTGGACAGAAGAGTGAGTAGAGCCAGAGGACAGTAGGCCCAAGTGGCTAGAGCAGAGGAGAGAAGGAACAGAACCTTCAGTCTGGGAGGAGACTTACAAAAAAGGTGTGTTTGATAAAGGAAACGTATCTAGAAGACAGAGAAGGTGACCCAACAATAAGAAGGTAAGAACCAAGTACAGTGACCACAAATTGAGAAGTACATGAGAAGATGCCCAGCATGGCTGAGTGAGGACCAATGACAAGTTGTGGTCAACATGTGCTGGTTCACATGTGGGTGTGTTGTTGACAACTTCCTCAAGAATGAACAAAGCTGGGCCCAATGATGCACACCTCTGATCCAGGTACTTGGAAGGCTGAGGCAGGAGGATCACAAGTTCAAGGCCAGTCTCAAAAAATAGAAGGGCTGAGGATGTTACCTAGTGGTAGAATGCTTGCACAGCATGTGCAAGGCCTGGGTTACAATTCTCATCTTGTGAACTGAGGCAGTAGCCCTGGGTTCAGTCCCCACTGCCCATGATAAAGACTGAAAACCACATCTGAGCTGAGCACCAGGACCTGGGTGGCTCACCATCTGGAACTCCTCCCCCTGCACGTAGTGTTCCACCAGGAAGCTGCAGACGTCCCCAATGCGGACAGTGCTGTCTAGGTCGGGCTCCTCCAGGAGCAGCTCGCACTGCCTGATGGACTCCTGGGGGTCCTCTGTGTAGGTCCTGCTCAAAGAAAGGGGATGCCTGAGTCCTGAACCCAGAATCTGCTGTGTGCCAGGGGGCAGTTCAGTATATGTCCTATAGCAGTAGCTCTGGGAATGGTGGGGGGGGCGAATTTTTTGTGAAGGTAATTTCTGTGAATTAAGTTCATTAATTCCTTAAGTTGTTCATAAGTTCAGTACTCCCTGCTCACAAGTGTGTGGTGTCCTATGGTTGGACACCAAGATCAGGGGCTTATAATCCTCTTGCTGCCCTAGAATCTAGAGGAGACAGAAGCTTCTAGGCTACAACTGATGKGGGGGTTGCTTAGTGTCACATGGAAGGGGGGTAGCAAGGGATGTGCCACCTTGCCCAAGGCAGAAGGGTTGGCTTAAACACAGGTTGGCAGAGACCAGGGAGGGGACCTGGCAGGATGTAACCTGGTTCAGGGCAGGCAACTGCAGCCATTAGGGTCCAGGATCCTTCCAGCCATGCTGACTGTCCCGGTGTGCCACTCTGGACAGCTGAGCCCTAACAGGCTACTCCTACCCCCTATTCATTTCCTCTTCATTCATACATACCCCGTTCTGTGGCTAAGACTACATCTTACCCATCCTTCACTCCTGACCCCTGCAGCCCAGGTTGGGAGACCTAGGTCAGAGACCTAGGTCATAAGGCCACACAGGCAGCAACCTCCGAGGAGTCTGCTTAGTTAGTGCACATTGTTTAATAGTGTGGGCAAAAGCTGAGCCCTGGGAGCACACAGATGTTTGTTTACATGGTGGCAGAGTGAGTATGAAAAGTTCAATTACCTACCAAGAGATAAAAACTAAGGCGATCCACCAAATACTTAGACCCTATGTGCTGCCTGCCTGGGCCTCCTCTCCTGACGGGACTACCTTGTGTAGCACAATTGCCCCTCCCTCAGCATAACCCCACCAGGGTGGCTGCATTCCCTGACCAGGGCTCCCTGGGACACACCTTTTCTTGACCAGACCAGACCTGTGTGTCTAGGGATTGAACCYAAGGATACTTAACCATGGGGTGCTTAGTCTTACTAAGTTGCTGATTCACCTGCCTCAGCCTCCCAAGCTGCTGGGATCACAGGCGTGGCCACTGTGCCCAGCTCTGATGGTTTTTGGAGCAGCCTTCCCAAGGTAGTGCCCAGCTCTGAGGGGGCCTCCTAGAGGAGCTCAGTGGAACTCCTCTACGAGTATCTATCAGATGGGCTGGGGATGTGGCTCAAGCGGTAGCGCGCTTGCTGGCATGCGTGCGGCCCGGGTTCGATCCTCAGCACCACATACCAACAAAGATGTTGTATCCGCCGAGAACTAAAAAATAAATATTAAAAAAAAAAGAGTATCTATCAGAAACAAAAGCTTGGTCTGGTCTGATCTTTTGCAGTCAGTCCAAACTCTCCCTGTAAAGGTGGTAGGCAAGTCATGGGTTGCAGCTGGGTGTGCTGGTGCATGCCTGGAATCCCAGTGGCTTAGGAGGCTGAGGCAGGAGGAGTGCAAATCCAAGGCCAGCCTCAACAACTTAGCAAGACCCTGTCTCAAAAATAAAAAGGCTTGGGGATGTGGCTCAGTGGTTAAGTGCCTCTGGGTTCAATCACTGGTATTAAAAAAAAAGTCATGGGGTACAAACCAAAGAGCACATGGTACATGAGGGTTCAGGGCCAGCTGTCTGTGTTTCCTGCCCCATTTCCTGTGGGGACACACCTGCGGGCCTGGATGAACCTCTTCACCAATGCCATCTTGCTCTGCAGCTGGGCCAACTTGGTCTCCTGGTCCAGGGGGCTCTTGGCCTTGGCCTTGGATAGGCACTTGTAGGCCTCAGTCAGTGCCCCGTGGGCCTTCTCGTAGTTCTGGTACTCATCAATCTCCACCTG